AAAGTTTGATGATGAATATCTTTTGAACGCTTAATTTATTCGCCAAAACATAACACACCATTTTTATAGAGTAGTTAATTTCCTACAAAAATTTGTATTGTGCACTTTTTAATAGTCATTTATTGTCGAGTTATAAAATTCTTAAACAAAAATGAAATTTGTCTAAAAATCATCAAATTTAAATCTTCAATATCATTCAAATGGTGAGGTTAACGGAAAAAATATAAGATACCTTTTTTGTAGAGCATTAAATTTCCTACAAAATTCGTCTAAAACATTTTTCTGTACAATCAATAAATAATGGGGTATGAATTTTAATCTATTGGACTGAAAAAAAAAAATAAAAAACTACGATGCGAAGGATCTTCCTATTAAAATTAAGAGCTCATATTGGGTGAGAATTGTTTTAAGATGTCTAGGAACCCATTTTTGCGTGGCACTTGAAAAAAAAGTCATTTTTTTGACCCACCCTAATATACATATTTGCCGGTAGGTAATAATGATAGTGTCCTAAGTCGACAAATTATACTAATTTATTTAATAAATAAAATGATTTATATTATTTTAATAAATCATCATTATATACTAATTTATTTGATGATTTATTAAAATAATATAAATCATTTTAATTATCAAATAAATTATCATTATACTAATTTATTTGGTGATTTATTAAAATAATATAAATCATTTTAATATCAAATAAATTAATGATATATATACATGTATCGTTAATTATGACAGTGGACTAATTGTAAGTAGAAAAAAAAATGAAAATATTAATTTTATCATTTATTCAATTACTTATATTAACATAAAAATAATAAAATCGATTTTTTTTTCTAAATATTTTGACTTACAATCCACTGTTATAATAATCAAAACAGATTGGAATATATATACATATTACGTACGTATGTATGTAAAAGAAAATTATTGTTTACAAATTCGTACCATCTTTTAAGCTCTTTGAAATATTTCCAATATTATATATACATAAAAAGAAAATGAATTTTTAAACATTATACCCAATCGCAGAAACTGAATTCATGCGACTTTAAGAATTTATCATTTTTTGTACGTCATACGAACATTTACGATGATCACATGCATTACAACAAGCATAAATTCTTCCGAGAAACGAAAGAAAAAGTTTAATAATATATCCGATAAGGAAGAGTATGATAAAGAAGGGAAACAAAAATAATAAAAAAAAAAAGAAGAGAAAAAGAAGAAGATGCGATTGATGTGGTATAAGACAAAAATCATTTCATTGTCTTATCGTCGAAAATTTGTACTTTGGATATAAGATAATCTTTTTTTGCTTTTTTTTTATTAATATTATTATTATTACAATTCGCGTTTAACAATAATTATGGATAGAACGATTAGAATTCACAAGACGAATTCGTACGTTTTCCTTGTTAAAAAAAAATAAAACAAAGTTATTACGAAAATGTGTGTGTGATTTAAAGAAGAAAAAAAAGAGGTTAGGGTGATAATCAATTGGCTAGTTTACTATTTTACTTTTCCTTCCTTTAAATTACTATAATAAAAATTGTCTTGGGGTTTTTCTTGTTTTCGTACGATATAAGACTAATGATTAAAAAGAGATGAGAGAATAAAGAAAACTAATAAATAATTATTATTAAATAAATGGAAGAAAAGGTGTCTCTTTCGACGTAAAAAATCGCATTTTTAAATTGCGTTCACTTTTTTAAGGAGACAGGTCTTCTTAAAAAGCCACGAATTGTATCGTTTTTAAAGAAAAAAAAAAGGCAAAAAAAAAGAAAAACAAAAAACATAATACAATTTAAGCACTTGATGTAACCCTGACCAATGTAAACCGGAAAATAGGCGAACGATTTATTAAACGAAAGAAATTGTTCTAAGCAACGTGGACTTCAAACTCGTCGTTTGTGTTGTAAATAAGATTAACTATTCGTATATTTAAAAAATATCGCGACTAGAAATAATCGGAGATGAAAGAAAAATAAAAATAAAAATAAACGAGAGAGAGATGGAGAGAGAGAGAAAGAGGAAACGAAATAACTACTTAGATCGATTATTCGATCTACTTTATTTCTAATTTTACACTAACAATAAATGCAAGTCCGTCAAAAAAAAAAAAGAATAAAAAATTTCAATAAACTTGTATCATCAGAGTCGCAATATTTCGTAAATACTTATAAATAAAAAATATCATTAAAAATTAATAAACGAGCGAATAAAGTATTTAAAAAAAAAGAATTATTTGCACAAAAAAACAAATACATAAAAAGTTTGGTTTCCTCGATAAAAGTTTAGTGTAGATTTTAATTGCAAGAGATTTAACTATCTTTGTTTTCTTTAACGCTAAACTTACCAAAGGACTGGTTATTTTAATGTTATTAATTATTTTTTATTTAATTTCGTTTAAAAAAGTTAATATTCTACAAATTATTTAATTAAAATTATTGTAGCTAGAAATCAAATGGATTATCATCTTTTCAAAAATCAAATTGTTTTTTTTTCAAGACCAGTATATAATTAAACACCAAATTTCGATAAATTTAGTGTTAAAGATCAATTAAACTTGATGGTAGAAATAAATTACTATTAATTAAAATAGGAATAAAAGAGAGAGAGAGWGTGTGTGAATAAAAGGAGGAAAAAACGAGAGGGTAAAAAAATAAAGCAAAAAGAAAGAAAGAAAAAAAAGAAAATGAAGAATCGTCGCCATTGAAGAATAGAACAAGAAAGAAAAAAAAGAGAAAAGTTGAAAAAAAATTGAAGAAAAATTTGCATAACGAATACGTTTCCTTATCTGATCCTCACTTTTCCCCGATACTAACGCCGAAATTAACAGGACGAATTAAAATAAAAGAACGAACGAGGATAGATAATGTTAAACGAAAAATAAATTGGGATATTTTAATTTAAAGCAAATCCTTTTTCCTTCCGTTTATTCTGGAAGATTTTTAATGAAATGTAAAATAAACAGAAAAAGAAAATAAATAAAAAAAAAAATATAACGGAGAGAGAAAGAAAAAGAAAAAGAAAAAAAAGGTAGAAATTCTGTAGAAAACTCATTGCTCCTTTATTTTCATTCGTCCTGTATAATAATATTAAAAAAGTAGATTAAACGTTGTCCACGTAATCGTAAGGATTGTTGTAAAAACCCTTTTATGGAAAAAAAATGAAAAAAAAAAAAAAACAAGGGAAGAAACTGTTTTCTCGAGGAATCGAACTCGCGTGAATTTTTTTTTCGATTCGGACGTATAGGTACAACGAGAAAAAGAAAAAAAAATTAAACGAAAAATGAATAAAGAAGGATCGTAAAATTTTTTAATTACGTAAAACAATGAACAACAAAATAAAGTCGAGAAAAGAAAAACAAAAAAGGAAAGATGATAATATCTCTGACGAAAAAAATTATAAATCAAATATAAGTCTACGGTGAATAATTAAACCGCATCATTGGTCTCGCAGTAATATTAAAGTGACAAATAAACTTTAAAAAATCGATTAAAACTGTCAATTAAGTATTATTACAAATGTATGTATGTGTTTGTGTGCGTTACGCACAATCGCGTACATTCGACTGACCGATTTAATCGTTTTTTAATATTCATCAACTTTTAACGAGAATACGATCAAACGTTGTACAAACGAAATAAACTACATTTAACTAACAAAAACATTAATAAATAAAAAGACAAAATAAAATGATTAAAGGTAAGGTTTAAACTAAAAGGAAAAAAAAAGGAGCACAACTGTTTTAAGGATTTGTAAACTCGACGTTTTCCATGATTTTACAAAAGACGACATCCGAATAAAAACACAGTAAGAGAATAAAATAAAAAAAAAGGAAAAATCAAATTTAAAAACAGAGTCTTTTCAATCGAAATACTTAAAACTACAGAGAAGATAATAACATTAACAACAGATAAACTATCCTTGATAAAAACTTCACGCCGCACGATTTGTCAAAAAAAAGAAATAAAAAGTAAAAAACGAAAACATAAACAAACAATGAAAAAAGAAAAAAATTAATTAAATATGAGATACGTGCTAATGAGAACGCGAATTCCTCGATAAATCCCGTAACAGTATTCTAAAATTAACATTATAAGAATTTTAATTACCATCATTGTAATTACGAAAATAATTAAATGACAGAGACGAAGATTGATGTTTATAGAAACACACACATACACACACTCACACACGCACACAGAAAGGAAAAGAGAGAGAGAGAAAGAGAGAAAAAGGGTGAGAAATCCAACCTTCGAGGTCGTTTTATCCAAAAATTATCGTTTAATAAAAGGAACAAATGGGTTCCTCTCGTATTTTTTCATATATTTAACGCCATCCTTCCTATAAATTTTATTTCTATTTTTTCTTTTTTTTTTTTTATTCATCTCAAGCGCAATCTTCAACTCGATGTTACTTCAAATTTATTATAATTTAATAGCTTTTTTTTTTGAATGCATAATAATTACTCCACGTGGCTTAACAGGTAAGAAATTTTTTCAAATATCTTTTTTCAATATACCTACGATATTCACAAATACATTTAAAAATAAATGTAAAAATAATTATTTACATAATTATTCTTCGAGCTTTGACCGGAACAACATGTTTAATTACATATATCACTAATAGTAAATATTAATTATTAAATATTAATTTAAAACATCTAGAATATCATTTTCAATAAATATGACTGATATATCAATTGACATTTCTTGACATATTGTAGAGCGTAAATAGTTTTTAATAATTTTTAATCTGGAAAAACCTCTTATCTCTGATAGCTACCCTACAGGTAAATCTAAATAAATACGCAGTACAATTACTAAATTTGTAAAAGTTTCACTTAATTTATTCACGTACATATATTTCAAAACGATATAAGAGGATCCATCTCAATTTTTATAAAGCATTGTATATTCAATATTTTTATTGTTTGTTAAATTTTTATATTCATTGTATTTATTTCAAGGAAATATTTGTAGTTTATTTTTATTTGACGGTAGAATAAAATATTGCATTTGATAGAAACATTTATTCGATCAATTTGAAATGATTGCACAAATCTACAGTGTCCACTAATGTTTCATGAATATTGTTTCTCAATGATAATTGGTTTAATATTTTCAAAGCTTCGATAAATTTTTTTATCGTCAACAATCTCGTTGAATTTATCGACACAATGTTGAGCGCACGATTATGGCTATCTGTTGGATATATCATGCATCCTATTTTTTCCTTCAAAACAAATACACAATTTTGTAATACATTAAGTGATTTTTCAAGGTAATTATATAAAATTTTCTAAATATTTATTAATAAGATCGTTGTAAAAATAGAATACTGGATATTTATTGGAACGTTTCAATAATTTTTACGAATCATAGTTATTCTAATTAAATTATACCTAAATAATGAAATATTTCAATAGTACCTGATTATCGTAATATATTTGATTTTGTTTGCAGAGATTGATTAAAGTTTGTCCACAATATTTTGACAAACCAGTGCCATAAAGTTTACCACAGCAAATAGCGTGTCTGTTAACTTTGATTAACAATTCAGTTATGTTACTGATCTTCGATTCATTTTTACTTTGTTGCGCGTATCTAAGATAATTGCAAATTCATTGTAATATCAAATTAAAATCATCTACTTTAGATGTAATTGAAATCTTACTTTTCGTTACCATCCTTACACGGACCAACACAAAATTTGACCCAATCGCTGAATGCTATTAAATCAGTATAATAAGGATCTATATCTATCACCCAAAACTGTTGAACCTAATTCAAAAACAATACGTACATTATTAATACATTTATTTGTATTCCAAATTCTGATTGAAAAAATTAAACGAATGTTCGAAAATTATTTTTGAAAAAATAATGATACAAAATTCAAAATGTTTGTAATTATTTTGATTTTTTTTTTTTTTAAATGACGTTTGAGTGTGCGCGTGTATTCCTACGTCGAATTGATCACGAAAAGAAACAAGATCGATGCCAAAGTATCCAACAACGTGTTCGTTTCGTAAAATTGTCCCAACATTGTCCACCAGTTGTTCTAGCTCGCTTCGAAGGATTTTATTTTGAGGTAGAAAGTATGCCATATCGTTTCTAATGTCTCGACCAAAGTGAATAATTTCTGCAGCAGTGATAACAACGGGTTTAGCCAAGTCATGTTCGATGAACACACCGATGCTCAAAACATCGTAATAATTGTTTGGACAAGCTTGTATTATACCACCTAATTAAATTTAATTCAAATAAAAATTGCCAAATTTTCGAAACCATTTCCACAATTATGATGAAATTTACCGAACGATTCCAAATCGTGAAAAAATTCTTTGTTATTCGGATAAATCGATTTCTGTACTTGCATTTCTGTGGGTAAAGTTTCAGCCAACAATTTGCACAAAAAATCTTCCTTTATATTGCCTGTTCGTTCCTACAAATTAAAGAAATCAAATATTTCGAAACGACTCGTATATGGGTCGCTAGTTACGAAAAGATTAATCGAATTATTTTTCTTTATTGTAGATTGATATTTTTTTAACAATATTAATATGAAACTTACTATGTTTCTGATTGCACTTCCAAGTATACCTGTTTTGAAACGAACTATAGCAGTTTGATATCCGTAAAAGCCATTATCTATTTTTACGAACCACGTCTTGTACATTGGATATTGGATTATCATAACAGCCATGCCTCTACACAACTAAATAATAAAATCGATATAACACAAAGCAAATAATAAATCGAATTGACTTTATCCAATCTTGTCATTATCGAGCTTACGTTCATAATACATATCATAATTAAATGAAACTTCATTAAAGATAACATTGCTTAAATATTATTTAAATGCGATCACACCTGGCCAAAACTGTGAACATGCAGAAATGGAGGATGCTGAATTTTATTAACGTCCAATAATTCCATTATGTAGGACTTGCTCGATAATCGTTTTTGAAACTGCAATGGCGGACCTGTACGATTTATTTTTCAATGGATAAATTAGAAAAAAGAGATAAAGTACAGAGTATGACCCAGAAACTTATGTTGATAACTGTAAAAATTAATTTAAGAGGGAACAGTTTGGTATCCAAATAATTCTACTATCTGTACTGTATTATCAAAATCATTGACATTCAACAACTACTTACCCATAATCGGTATTTTCAACTCGCAAGCAATGAAAATATTTTTCTGATCTATAACCCCAGATAAAATAAACGCATGTCTGCCAGCTGTCAAGAATCTAACTCTTCGATAAACGTCAGGTGAAAAAAATAAATTTGCACTACCACTGACACATTTTTTCATAAGACTGCAAAAGAATGATCTTCAGTGCTATACGTAATTGAATAAATTCATTAAATATAGAAAAGGTAATATACCATTTGGGTTCTGGTCGTAACATTAACAACCTTTTAGATATATCAACATCCGGACGTACGCTTATTATTAAATCTTGCAAGATGGTCAACAATTCTTCGCTTTGGGGTGTCGGGAAAATATAAAGTACCTCAACGTTTGGATCATCTAACCACCCTACTCGACCTACCTACAGAAAACCAACCATGTCATTTGTCACTCTAAAGTTTTGATAGAACAATAGAATTTGCTTGAGAGATCGATAACTTGAATATTTTGCAAATAATCAAAAGTTTTTCTTGCTCTACATTTCAATTCGTTATTGTAATTTAATGAAGGCAAATGAACGACAATGTGGGGATAACTTCTCAAATCGTGCCAATTTTTGGATATACAATGGACCCTAAAATTAAATTGCTATTTTAATACAACCCAGTACGATGCAATAATAAAAAATATAAATTGGAATGATCGCAAATAAAAATAGCAAACCATTTAAAAAGTTTTCGACAAAGTTTAGCAAATCCGCAACTTCCAATATCGCGAAACCTATCTAAGTTATCAAAATCATCTCCAGTAATACAGGCACCATCGAAACCAACTCGACAAGTATGCGACGGTCTACTGCAAATGTGCTTAGATACGTCATCCTCCGTTTCTTTTCTTTTACAGTTACGTAATTTCGATGTACATCGTTTATCCAATCCACATACACGAGTTGACAACAATTCTTCTTCGTCAGCGTTCTCACATTTACAAGAAACTTTCTTCGAATCTTGTTCAGCAACTTTTATATTGAGACCCATTTGTTCACATATTTTTATTCTTTTATCTCGTTCGTAGAAAACAGAATCAACCACGTCGTAACATTTACCCCATTTAGCAACTTCTTCTGATTTTTTTGAATACGATTTTTCCAAATGTTCTTCCGCTCTTCTATCGGGAAAGGAAACATAACTGCAATGATGCTCAAGAATAATAGGTGTTTCTTTTCTACATTTTGTAACTTTTCTTGATGGCTTAGTTTCGGTGCACTTAAATCCAGAAAATTATTTGTTAATGATAATAAATTAATTTACGATTGCAGAAACACTTACTTCAACTAATTTGGGGCAAATTACGTTCTGAGATGATGAACTGGACGAATTTATAGAATCATTGCAATCATTGGTGTCACTGTCAGCGATGCAATCAGAATAATGGAAAGAGTCAATACTGTCTAAAGAACTACAGACACTACTTTTCGATTGATCTAATTTGTTTTGACACACGTTAATCTGTTCAGTTTGTGGACCAAAATTAAATGGTCCAAGTATAAGAGGTCCATTAAAACCATAATTCTTCGTCATACACGGACAAAGCGTTGCCACGCAATAATAAGAATTCTTCAAAATGACTGAATCATCGGCACACATATTTTTCCGAAGATTTTTCGTAAGTTCTTCTCTCAATTTTAGATCTATGATTTTAACGAACTCACTTATCTCCTCGTCATTGTAATCTCCTAATGTCTAATCGTCAAATTATTTGAAATAAGATCAATTTTAATTATTTTAATTATTATTTGTATTTGAGATTATTTAAACACTATTATTACAAAAATATTATAAAAAAAGAAACAATTATTAATTTATAAATTTAAAGTTTACTTTTAATTTGTTCAACTTATCTTCGTCTTTCATACAATGTACAACATTGTTGACTCCACATGGTTCACAAACTTCCGATTTCAATTTATCAAACACATTTAAATCTTTACAAGCCGTAGAAAGAAAATCTTTTTTGGAAAAATTCTGTAAAAATTCAAATTCATTTCGATTTGATAAAGATTTTTCGCACGTATTTATATCTCCTGTTTTTTGTGTCTCCAATATACGATCAATTTCTTTAACATGCGCAGTGCGTAACGTAGAACGAATTATTTGTTCAGGATCTTTAGTTTTTCCAATGTTCATCAAAGAGGCTTTGATTATTTCCAAAAAATTTTGTTTACATTGTTCGATATGTTGAATTATTGAAGGAATGCGTGTACAGACGTTGGGATCGTCCAATTCTAAGCAACCCAGTTTCATGCAAGAATTTTTTTTCTCGCAAATACCTTCGTCATTTAATTTAGTTTCTTTCAAAAAAATATTTTGACAAGCACCATTACGATCACTGATTAATTGCGATCTCGACAAAGATGCATTGCATTTAATATTTCGAAAATTTGTACACGGTTTAATTTTGACATTATTTTGACAAATTTCAGCTTCAATTAAATTATCTCTTATACATTCTGGAATACTTATGCATTCGATTTTTGGTTTTTTACAATCCTGGACATATTTTTGTTTACTTGGACAATCGCAACTTGTTGAAGACGATCGATAAGACAATTTTTCGGAATTTTCTGTATCTTTGCAATTTTTCTGTATGTTATCAATGTTTATCTCATCATTAAATGTGTGATTGTCACAAATAACGCGACCACAGCAATCACAATTACGTTTCTTGTTAACAATCTTTTCTTTAATGCATGCTAAATTTAAATAATTACCGTTTCTTTTAACCATATTGTTTTTTATTTAGCAATAAATCGATACAACGAGACTAAAAATTAGGTTAATTGATCTGTCGATTATTACAAAAAATTTATAAACTGACATGTTTATAATTCTAATCGATTTTACATACACTTGCAGTGTTACAAGTATCGCGCGAGCGTGTTCTGTTATTTTTATTTTAAAAATAAATTGCATGCTTACAATACATGTTATGATATATAATTATTAATTAATTTAAGATGCACTATAATGCTTTTATAATTAAATACAGTAGGCTCATACATTTTATTTCTCAAAATCATGATATTTGAACAATAATATTCATTTGAATCCATATTATTATACACATGAAATATGTTTGTAGAAAGAGTGCTGTTAAAGGTTATTCATATCAAGGGAGTAGTTCATTTATCAGATGTTTAGAGGCGCTATTGACGCACTGACCAACATTCACAATCAGTGCTAGATATTTGTGTGACGCCGCTGTTTGTTGGAAGATTAAGTTATTTAAACTATTAATTGAAAACATTATATTCATTTGTTACGTGAAATAATAGATTGTAATTAATACACAATTACGTATTATTAATTTAATTAAAAATTAAAAACGTAATAACCTCATTATATACGATCTTGAACGTGTAAAGTGTGTGTAATAAGTGCATTCAAAAGATATAAACAGTATGTGTTTTTTGTACATTTATTGATAATCAAAATATATACATGTTAAATAACGTTAAACTAGTGTTTTATATTTTACTTGTTATCAATTTTTAATAATCAATATTACATAACATAATTAAATTGATAGACAAAAGTGATACATTATAATTAAACATTAAGGTTAGCTTTGCATGCATCAATAAAATTATTTTTAAAAAAGTATATAAATAATCTTTTATATTTCTTTAATTATTTATCTTTTAATGACAGATAAACTAAACAATGCCAGAAATAAAAGTAACGCCATTAGGTGCGGGTCAAGATGTTGGAAGAAGTTGTATACTTGTATCACTAGGAGGAAAAAATATCATGTTAGATTGCGGTATGCACATGGGATTCAATGACGAAAGACGATTCCCCGATTTCTCGTATATTGTACCAGAAGGACCTGCGACTGGTTACATAGATTGCGTTATTATTTCTCATTTTCATTTGGATCACTGTGGAGCACTTCCGTACTTTACAGAAATGGTAAAATCTTTTTAATACATTAAACACTGTTCATATTTTGTTTACCTTCCAATTTACCACGTTCAATACAATTATGCAGTAAGTAAAATGCAAACTCACAACTATATTCAGCACTTGACGTGTCTCTTTGGAGAATCATCAATCTTTACTATTGACATACTAAATTTGTTTTATTAGTCACTAGTGATCGACACAGCACTTAACGTATTCATATAACTTGTAATATCGTAATATTCTTTTTTATCAAATAATTTGGTTTATAGGTAGGTTATACAGGACCAATTTATATGACCCATCCTACTAAAGCTATTGCCCCTATACTTTTAGAAGACATGAGAAAAGTAGCTGTAGAACGTAAAGGAGAAAGTAACTTTTTTACATCGCAAATGATTAAAGACTGTATGAAAAAAGTCATTGCTGTTACCCTCCATCAATCGGTCATGGTAGATTCAGAATTAGAAATAAAAGCGTATTACGCAGGACACGTTCTTGGTGCAGCTATGTTTTGGGTACGCGTAGGATCTCAATCTATTGTATATACAGGTGATTACAATATGACACCAGATCGTCATTTGGGTGCAGCATGGATAGATAAATGTAGACCGGATTTATTAATATCAGAATCCACATATGCTACTACAATCAGAGATTCTAAAAGATGTAGGGAAAGAGATTTTTTGAAAAAGGTATTCATAAATAAAGTTATTAATATGTCGATGGTAGCTGAAATTCTTTAAATACAAATACTTTTCCTCGTAGGTTCATGAATGCATTGATAGAGGTGGGAAGGTTTTAATTCCTGTATTTGCTCTTGGTAGAGCTCAAGAACTTTGTATATTACTTGAAACATATTGGGAAAGAATGAATTTAAAAGTACCAGTTTATTTTGCTTTAGGATTGACCGAAAAAGCAAACAATTATTATAAAATGTTTATCACTTGGACTAATCAAAAAATAAAAAAGACCTTTGTACAACGAAACATGTTTGATTTTAAGCATATAAAACCATTCGATAAATCATATATTGATAATCCAGGTGCAATGGTCGTATTTGCAACACCAGGAATGTTACATGCTGGTTTATCTTTACAAATTTTTAAAAAATGGGCACCAAACGAACTCAATATGGTAATCATGCCTGGATTTTGCGTACAAGGTACAGTTGGACGTAAAGTCTTAAATGGAGCACGTAGAATAGAATTTGAAAATCGTCAAATAGTCGAAGTTAAAATGGCTGTGGAATATATGTCTTTTTCCGCGCACGCAGATGCGAAAGGCATCATGCAATTGATACAATACTGTGAACCTAAAAATGTTATGTTAGTGCATGGCGAATTTGCTAAGATGGAATTTTTAAAAGAGAAAATTAAACAAGAATTTGGTACAAATTGTTACAATCCTGCTAATGGAGAAACAATCGCTATTACAACAACTTCTAAAGTTCCGGTAGATGCTTCTCTCGCTTTACTAAAAGCAGAAGCAAAAAGATATTCTGCTTTGCCACCAGATCCCAAAAGACGCAGATTATTACATAGTGTTTTAATGTTGAGAGAGGATGGCGTTTGTCTGGTCGATGCAGACGAAGTAATTATCACATTTTAATAAGAAAACTTCAAAATTTACTTACAGTGTTATAATATAATTAAAATCTTTTTTCATTAGGTTGCTAAAGCAGCAGGTATAACTAAACACGTAGTACGATTTACTTCTACTGTACAAGTTCGAGATCCTGGACCAGCACATTCTACTACTTTGAAATTGTTGCAACCTCTTAAAGAGAGATTAGCAGGTTGGACTGTACAATTGACAGATGGTTCGATTTCTGTAGAATCTGTTTTAGTTAAAGTAGAAGGCGACGAAGATGAACAAAAAAGTGTTTATGTTTCTTGGACTAATCAAGATGAAGACTTAGGAAGTTATATACTGGGATTTTTGCAAACGATGTTAAACTGATAATGAATGATAATACAAAGATATAGGATTATAGAAATGTTGTACATATATCTGTGATATTTGATCTATTACTCTGATATCATATTTTTAATCAATAGACATATATCTCATTTATTAATCTAATTTAATCCTTTCGTTACGGTAGTCTGCTCCGCAGAAGTAACGCCACCATACGAGGCACCGCGCCGCCGAGCTAACGTTTAGATCCGGCGCTCGTATTCACAGGTATTGGAAAGAGGCCATCTAATTCCGGCGCTCGTAACGAAAGGGTTAAACATCAATTTTATTTTCTTATATTATTTTCTTTTTTAGAATTAAAACAACTAAAAATGATAGATTATATAAAGCAGCAATTTTACAACAAAAATATTATGTATCAGAATAAAAATGAACTATATTTTGTATATGATGTTTTTATTAACTCGATATTAAAAAATTAATTAATAAAAAAATATTTAATGGCTTAAGCGGTCACTTAATTGCACATAGTTCATTAACTACAAAATGAAACTTATTATACGCAGTTAAATTAATATTAAAAAAATAAATAATGCACACAAATGTCAGATTTATAATTACGTGCGTTTATTTCCATATATAATAATAATAATCATTACTTTTTATATTACAATTAATACCTGATACACTACCAGGATTTTTGAACTGATTAATTTTATCGACATAATATTTTATCCTTCATATTGAGAGTATTTCGTTATTAAAATATTAATAAAAATATAAACGATAAACAGTTATTGTTTCTTGACACAATTACTTTGTTTTTCTCGTGTTTTACTAATATTATGTGGAAGCTACGGTATATAATAATTCCTAATAAAATTAAAACGATTGATCTCGTTCTCAAAATAATCTACGAGAAATAGATTTTAATTAATAGAAGAATACAATAATAATTGATGTGCATTGGTTCAACAACGTGTTATTAAAATGTCTTTTCTTTTTTCTTTTTTTTTTTCCAAATTCTCGAAATAATTTTTGTACGCTACAATTGTATCTGATATATCATTAATATAATTACATAACATCAATCGAAATCATATTATAATGTTGAAAAAAAAAAAAAGAAAAGAAAAAATAGAACAATTAAATTTAATGAACTTAGTTCTAAGTCTTTAAACATTATATATATGATACGAATAAGTACAATGCATAATCCACTTTATTGTTTAAGAAAAAAAGGAAAGAAAAAAATCGACAAAAACATGATTAATGATATACAGATCATCTCGAGGTCAATGGAAAGTAATAATCGTAAGTGTATTATCAAATTAATCATACAAAAAAAAATGCTATTTTTAATTTGTCTTTTCGTCATCCAATAGAATATACAAAATGCGATTAGAAAAAAGTGATTTTAATTTTTTTTTTATTATCTAATGCGAACGAATTGTTTGTTGCGTCATCAAAGAGTATTTTCGTTATCCATGACCCACAACTTTGTGTGACTCCAAATTAACAAAAACTAAATATAAATTTTGTCCCAACTAAAACCAAACGAATTCTTCTCTAAATGCTTCCGAACTTTGCTTTTCATTGACCTATGCATGTTTGATTAACACTAAATAAAAATTTTTCATAAGATTTCACAATAATAGAAATGTTTTAAATTATTGTCTTCTAAAACAAAATGTAACGATTACGCCTATGTAATTCTATATACATAGAGGCCTGCATAAGTGTGTGTGTTTTATCCATTTATAGATAACTTCTATGAAAAAACAACATTGGCATGTGAAACCAAAGAACTCTATATTATCCTGATCATATACTATAAATCTTTTTTCTATTATAATTTTTCTTTTTCTCATTTTTTTAAATTTATTTATTTATTTATTTACGTATAAGATTATTTTATTTTGTTCATTTATTGCACATATATAACTTTTTAACGATTTTTAGCTTTTGTGTACAAATGCTTTAACAATGTGAAAAAATGTCTAAAAATGTGATATTAACACCATACTGTTTCACATATGGAGAAATACTTTTACATAAATGATTTATTTCATCATACACATATGTAAATTTAAAAAATCTGTTAGAAAAAAAAGAGACATTATCAAGTACAATGAAATAAATTTGAATTATGAACGCATTGTAATTATAAAATCTTAATAACTCTAATAAACATTATTACGATAGTTTTGAAAACAAAGATAAAATTCAATTATATAAAATAAGTAAAAAGACAACAAATGGATAACGCACAAATAATATATAATTTTTCTTATGTTAATCGTTACTTATGCTTCTCTTCTAATATTAATATAGCAAATATCGGCTTCAATGTCTCTTATTTACTAACTATTAAAGTTTAATTGTTTACATTTTCTCCACATAATAAAATATGGTATTCTTCATATAATAAACATTGTATTCGTAATATATTTCAAATTGTTATATTAGTCTTCTCAGTAGCAAAGTTTTGCCGTTTATGTGTACAGTCTGGTTCCATATACATTATTTTATACTCTTTTTATTCCAATTATTTTTTTTACCATTCTAAAACATGGTACGTTAACGTAGCTTGTTCTTTGAAGTTACTTTTTTCTTGAACCACCCTGAAAGTATAAACACCATTTATAATTATCATTAGAACTAAACGATTTAAAAATTACATATAAAAGCCAATAGATTTGTTTCCTTTACATCATTTTGTCCGATACTAATCAAACAATAAAGCATAAGTTTTTAGTGTAAGAGCATATTTATATTATGTTATAAAATTAATAAACATTTAAATGCGTGTTTTTTTAAAACGATCATGTATAATACAGGAAGATCATATATATCTACGCATATAATTATATTAATAATAATAGTATGTGTGAATACTAGATTTTCAAAATTCACGTCTATGTGCATGCGTGTTATCGTATCGCAATGGATAAAAGAATTGTCACGCAATACCCTTAACTTTGACCTCTATTTTTGTCTCAAACATTCGAAAGATAAAAATTATGAAATCATTAGATTAATTCGAAATATTCTACTTGGTGACAAGAATTTATTAATAATAATAAAAAAAAGATAAATGTTTTTGAAAATTAAAAATAATATCAATTTCAAACGGAGCCATATTTTGGGACCATCAATTTATCGATCATGAAGTGATAAGTCATCTAATAACGAGCGTTACATAATATAATATGTTCTATATGCAACTCTATATACCATACAATATTTTTAAATAAACAATCGAATAAACAGACGCGTAGAAATAACAAAAAACTAATGTGTTAAAATAATTACCACCACTATTAACACACCACCATCACCAAAAATGCTACTAAGCATTACAAAGAAAAAATCAGCAACTATAAAAAATAATAATAATTTACTATTCCTGTTAAGACAATAAATACTTATGATAATACTGCAAGCAAAAATGATTAATTTAAATAAATGACAAAAAGCATGGGACACAAACATTAATTATACTTGATCAATCTTATTAACGAAAAATGGGAAAGAATGAAATTATTAAAATTATTTAAAAAAGAAAACAATCACACACAGTATGCTACAGAGATTACTTTCAATGGCATAAGCATGTAGTTTAGCGATACTTAGATAGTACAAATATTACTTTTGAAATGGTGACAATCTATCTACAACTAGTACACTGTAAATATATTTCCATAGTTCTATAAAGAAAATATTTCATGTAATATTCAATGTATATATCAGATTATAATTGGATGCTCTGAAAAAGAATAAAATAAAACATATATAAAATGAAAGCAAATATAAATATAATTACATATTTAGGATAATATACTAAAAAAAAAAATTATAAATGAATGAAGTAATAATTAAATGAAATTAACATATATAGATTGCTGCTTTAAGTGTACCCTTTACCCCAGTGTTTGTGTTTATAAAATTTGATACTTATATTTATTATGTACATTCGCATTATTATGTCCATCGTTTTGGTCTTGCCATTTTACGCTTTTTTTATATACACTTTGTAACATTATGCATATTTATATAAATATGTCTACGAGAACTCGGCTATTGGATTAATTAAAATCTATCTCTATTATTTTCTACGTAATGTTATTTGGATAAAAATAAACTTTACGTTTTCTAAAAGTGAATAACCATACTAAAATCAAGTATCGCCAATGTATAAAATAGCAGGATAATATGATTGATAAATTTATGATTACATAAACATATATATATATATAAAAAAAAAGATTATCAAAAATGATAGTATTCTATCCTGTAGGATAATACACAAATGATATATATTGCATGATGCCAATAGAAAAACACAAATGTGACATTTATGAATTGCAAGAATGTACATGTAATGGATACATCTTATTTTATGTGCTAAAAACATTTAAAATGCATTATAATAAAAGTAAATGTAATCTATAGAGCTAAGAATTACACATTGTGCAAAAATTTCACAAGAGCAACACATCATCAAAAGTCAAGAAGGCATCTAAATTTTCAAATATTATTTCAACTTTGTTCTTATATAGAATCGGGTATTTGAATAAACAACTATGAATAATTATATATATAAATATTAAATTGGTACATATGAATTAATGGGGGACAAAAAAGTACAAATTACATGTTTTTTTTTCCCAAACATGGATATAATAATATAGAAATTATGTTATTCCCTGTTTAGAAAAACGTAATTATAAAAGCAAACTGATGCATAAAAATAAAAGATATTTAACTTAATATTAGATAACATAATTTGTGTGTATGTAAAATAATAATTTCATTAAAAATCATTTAGAAACCTGACATGTACCGCTAGCAGCAGTCTACCATTGACCCTTTATAAGGCTAAAAGAAAAATCTCAAGAGAGAGAGAGAAATTTCATTTCTAGATTTGCATACCTGCGAATCTGCGCCGTTTTGCCGTGGATTTCTTAGTGGACTGTCAAAAGAACGAAAACAATAAAATCGTTATTTTTTGGAAGATCATCGCTTCTTCGATACGACAAAGCTAGCTTTTTTTTTTTTTCTTATTATCATCAGAAGTCGAACCGTAATGAGCTGCTGCCACGCGTTTACGCTGAGATATATATACATATACACTTTTGTATATTTAATCTTAAAATTAAATTTTATATTTAACAAACACTGGGACAAAGGTATAAACGCATTGTTTTACACTTGACTGATTAATCATTTCAATTGTCATTTTAAAAGAAACTCATATAATATATATATATGAATATTATCTTTTTTTGAAATTTTAGAAAAAGAGGGAGAGAGAAAGAGAGAGAGAGAGAGAGAGAGAGAGAGAGAAATAGAGAAAAAAAGAAAATCATTTTTATGACCAGTAGTCGCAAGAATTTGCTTCATTACAAAAAGGGAATGATCCTGGTGCAGTAAAATATATTTGTTAAACACCGAGTGGACAATTACATTGAGATATATCCTAAATCTTGTTTATACATATATGAAACATTATATATCTTTGCAAAATGTACAAGGGATCTAAGGTTTTTCCGACTAAATAGTATCAACGTATTTTATGCATGAAAAGAAGAAAAAAAATGCTATGTAAATATAGATCATCTATTTATTTTCATACATAAAATATACTGACGTAGTTTGATCGGAAAAATCTCAGAGACCCTGTATATATATTATCGTATTAATATTTTATATTAAAAAACAAACAAATCTACATATGCATACATTTTCCAATTATTTTGTAATATTTTTTTCTTTGCTTTTTTTCCCCTCTTTTAATTATTTAAAACTTCGTCTAATATTATATTCTTGCTATATACGTGCGTCGAAATAAGTCTAGAGATGAAAGGTTGTTACAAAGTGTACATATAGAATAATAATTATTCGATGATACTCTAAACAGATCTACCACACGTTACTTTTCAATATTGTAGATTAAATACAGCAAAATAATAGAAAGAAAGGAATCAGCATCGTCACAAAGAAATGTTATTAATATATCGATATATAAAAATATTGCGATACATTATATCAAACTAATTAATGATTTTAATGATTACAATAAAAACAAAGAAAAGAATTAACGCCTTGTTTAACAGATAAAAAAATCTAATCGCAATATATCGATATATAAAAATACTGGAATATGTTTATAAGTCTAATCAATTATTTGTCATTCGATATAATCATTTACAAATGATATTCCAATAATCCACATCGTGAACAATTTAACATAAAGTAATAGAAAGTATTCAACATTCTGATAGATTTTTGAAAGAAAAAGAAAAGTAAAAGAATTTTGAGTAAAGAAATAATTTGTTGAAAAAAGAAAAAGTAGAAAAAGAAAAGAAAAAAAGATACGACACTTTATACAACATATATATGTTTGTGAGACAAACAGAAAAATACACATTCTAATAATAGCATTCTCTTTTGTACTAATAATATTAAAGCCTGAAGTGAGAATGGACCTACACAGTAATAGAAAGAGATAGATACATATATATATATGTATAAAGAGAGAGAAAGAGAACCAGTAACATTTCTTTGATTCAGAGATTCATAGGTTTACCTTCCTTTTTTTCTTGTGTTTTTTATGTTGCTGGCCATTCAATGGATTCCAACTAGCCTGTGTGTTGTGATCTGTCATATGACAAGATTTGGAGGAGTATTTTGAAGTTAGGGAGCTGTTGTCAATTTCTTGTTGAGACTGAACCAAATTCATAGACTTGGTCATGGAACAGTTTGTAAACTCTGTGTTCTTGAGGAAAGTACTTTCTAATGCAGCAATCAGATTTTTCGTTGCTAGTGGCTTCTGCATTTCAGATATACAATTATTTAACTGCTAAGAAAGCAATAATAAAAATAATTTATCGAATATTGTTCAACCTTCTTTTTTCTTAGACATGTAAAATCAATTAGTGCAATTCTTTATAAAATCATAACGAAAAAAATATGTTCATTAGATTTCCATTTAACGCGATAATTTCAATTAAATTTTCCCTAATAAACACCCTCACCCCTATCCCTCATCCAAGAGTAATAAATAGGATTATAAGTGTATTTTTTAAAAGGACCTTAACGAAATAAGTATTACGTTTAACATCTAAAACGGTATATTAAGTAAATACGAGCTATGAAGTGTATATATATTCAATGTTATTCATTTTCTATGATTCATTTCTATTACGGGATCTATTTTAATAACAGAAATTTATACAAGTTTTAAAATATGTAGGCATAACTTTAGAGGTATTTTCAGTAAGCTAAAATAAGGAAAAAAGTTCATACAATCTCGTATGCTCGATAGAACACCTTGTTTTTAAATTATAGCTGTTTTTGACTTTTGATAATTGATATAACTTTTCTGGCCACTTGTTTTAACCATTTACAAGTAATCTTTATCTCACTTGTCGACAAATCAAAAAAATACTTTTTCTTTTTATTTTAGCGTATTGAACAGTCCTAAAATTATGACACCATATTTTGAAACATTCTGTATATATAAATATTTATATGAAATTTTTCACGCGCGCGCGGATACGATTTTTCATTAAATAGTGCAAAACAATTGCTTTGAGAATATATTCATATAATATATTCGTACAAGCATGTATACCAATGAACCTAAAAAAAATCTTTTTTAACTGTAAGCTAAAATAATTGATAAATACGTGTTTGCGGTTTGTGTATGTGTGTTTATATGAGTCGACAATTATATTTATATACACACGAGTATAAATACATGCTTTAAACAATAAAAATCATGTTAGTGTGTAATTAATAACAAAACAAAAAAAAAAGAAAAAAAAAGGAAAAGAATCTTAATAGATGTGGATTTGCTAGTATCTTTTTCATAATTTCATAAGATAAATCATTTATATTTGATACAGGGCTTATCTTGTAATCTTATTCAAGATTTAATGTAATTCCTAACTTTGTTCTAATTTAATGGTGTATCAATGGTGATATCATATTTAACAAGATTGTATAGAATGTCATCTTATTTTTAAAGTAATTTTTTATACTTTTAGGTATGACATCACTTCATAATTACCATAACCATAGCATAAGCCTCATAAATAAATCTATCAAAAATAAGGCACTATAGGTGCAATAATAATTATGTTATCTATCTATGTACTAACCTCGGATATAGAAGAATCAGAAGTGGGAGGCCCGTTCAACATGGATTGTTCAGAACTGCTACAGCCACCACATCCTTCATTCTAAAAAAAAAATAATATTATGAAAAGATATAATTGTTTATAAATATGAATTTTAATTTTTTGCGCATATATTTGTACTATTTTAAATAAAACAAATATTTGTTTTATACCTTTAGTTGTGATATTTCTTGTTGGAGCCGTGCTACAAGATTTTTCTCTTCCGTTAAACTGGACTCGCTAGTTTCTACTAGAGCATTTAATTTTGCTACCGATGCGTCTAATGTTGCCCTTTTATCCCTTTCCGTCTGAAGTTCTTCCGACAACCGTGTCTTCTCCTATAATCAAGTAATAAATCAGAACATTCAAAAAAATATTTCTATATAATAGATTATTTATTTTATTAATTAACTAACTTCTTGAAGTTTCTCTAAAGCGGCAAGATCGTGATTACACATATTTCCATTTGCAACAGATTTCTGTTCAACTTTTAGAACTGATAATTCAGCATTAGTCTGTTCTCTTAAGAATTGAGCGTCCTGTAATTTGGCTTCCAATTCAGATACCTTATCTCGAAACTATTTAATAAAAAAAGATAATCATATTAATAATATACTTAAAATAATGATGATGAAATAATTTAACTATAACTTAAAGTTATAAAAATCTACCTTTTCATTTGTTTTTAATTTAGTTTGTAATTCAGTCAATTCTACCCTAAGATTAGAAACTTCACTTTCCTTCTGTTGCAGTAGTTCTTGCCATCTAGTTTCTTCGGATTCTATATGACTTTGCAAATTATTAAGCATACCCTCCTATATAATTAGAAATATAATTAAAATATTTATAAAAGTTTTTATTAGGGAATTATTTAACTGTAAATTATATTAAATTTCACTCACTGTATCATCAATAATTTTTTTATAGTGCGTAACCAACCCTTGTAACTTTGTATTTTGTTTTTCTATATCTGAATTTACTTTCACTACAGATTTATCTTTTAATGTACTTATATAAAAGTATACTTTATTTTCAAAGGCATTCAACCATTGCTCGTGCGAAGTTTCTGCAACTTTAATCTCCGGAAATACCCTTTGTAAAAATGCTTTGGTCTGCTCTTGCTGTTCTACCTTAATTTTCTGTGTTATATCCTGATAATACAAAAACAAATTTAATAATTATAATATTAATACTTATATAAATAATGCATAATATAAAACAGTAGAACCATGTAATTCTTACCAATGTAATACGTACACAAGAATATAAATTAATTTAATTTAAAAACATAATAATGGTGTTGTATGGTTATAAAAGAATTTTAGGGCATATCTTTTAACTTCATTTCAAATAAAATAAATAAATAAAATAAAAGAATAACATGTTACCACGAACAAAATAAAAACTTACAACAATGCCTTTTCCATTGTTAGATTTAGCACGCGACTCAGCGGCAGAAAGAGCTTCCATCACTTTCCAGTTTTTAATACGTAGCTCCTGCACTCACCATAAACAAGATGAATTGTGTATAGATTTATATAATATTACAGCATGTGTGGTAAATAAGAATAGTTGTTTTGAATATTAATTAGACGATACAGTTGGTAAAGTGATGGAAGCAGTTAGAAATAATAAATAGGAAATATTAAAAAAAAAATATATATATATGCATATAAAAGAATAAATATTATACGAGCATGCATCGTTTTTATAAACAATAAATAAAATTATAAAGAGTATTCCTTGTTTGCATAATAGAATTATCTCATCATTCTATCACTTACATTATTTTTCGATCTTTGTGCATCCAAATCATTTTGCAGTCGTTCAACTAAACTATTCTTATTGCTCATATCACTTTTCAATGCATCAACTTGTGCATTCAATTTGTTGAGTTCTACTTCTTGATGCGTTAATTCTGTTCTCAAACTATCCAACTGACTATCTTTCTGTGCTAGCCTACAAAAATTAATAATGTATTCCTAATTCAAATATTCATGCATTTTTTAAAGAAACTGCAACTACTAATAGTTTAAGACTATTATACGTACAAATTAACATGTTCCAGTAATTCAGTATTATTCTTCTGCAATTTTTCTTCTATTCCATTTTCATGGCCATCTGCAGCAGGACGCTCAGTAGTTGCCGTCAATTGAGAAACCAAAGATTCGTTCTCTTCATGCAATTTTTGTATTTCTTTTTGCATTTCCATAAAATTCACAAGCTATATTAGAAAAACGACAGGTTATGTATAATAATTACTACCAATAATCAATAATATTATAACGCTTTACTTAAAATATAATATTAAATATATATATATGTCAATAATATACCTGAGCAGAAAGTCTATCCTTTTCTTCCTGTAATCTCGTAACTTGAATTTGTAATTCGCTTGATTTCTTTTCTCCTATCTGAAGTCTCTGTATGTCAGCCTTTAAAACTTTCAATTCACTTGCAGCTTCATTATTCGCTTTAATTTGTTCCTGTGCTTTAGCAAGCATTATGTTTAATTGCGATAGCTCTTCCTGAAGCTTACTTGACTCGTTTTGATACTTGACAACTTCATCCTTTAATTGTGCATTATTACCGACCGTTGTATCCAAATCATTTTTCAATCTTTCTAATTCCTTTTTCATATCGTTACATATTGATTCTTTATACTCAACTTCTTCTTTAGATTTTTTCAAGTCGTCATAAAACATCTCAAGTCGTTCTTCACACCTTCTAAGATCGTATTCTGTGTTAAACAATGTATTATTTAATGCTAAAATTTCAGCAGTCTCAGAATTAGCTTCATTTTTCGATAGCGACAATTCTGATTCCATCTTAAGTAATTCAGTTCGAACTTTAGTTAATTCAGATTTCAAAGAGGAAACTTCGTTAGCTTCCACTTTAACTAAATTCAACTCAGCCTGTAATGAATTAACTTGTTTTTGCAAGTCTTGTTCATGTCGATGCGAATTTTTATATCTGTGATCTAACTCAGCATTAGCACGATGAGATTCCTAAAAGAAATGTCAATAATAATTATTACATGATCTAATTAAAATTTATTTACGAAGAATATAATTAATAATTACCTCCAATTGTCTAGCAACATCTTGGAGTCTATCGCTAGATTCCTTAAAATGTTGCAATTGTTGTTCTGTATGTATCAATTGGCCCTGTAGTATGCTTAATTGCTGCTGTAACATCTCTATTTCAGCTGTGCTGCTAGCACAAGATACTTCTAATTCATTTTGCAATTCTTGTACTTCTACGTGTTTTTGTGCCAATTGTGCTTTTAACGTGGATTCGGCTTCATGCATTTGAGCAAATTGAACTTCCAACTGTTTACGCTGATTTATTAATTCCTGTTGCAAATGACCCTGAGTTTGGCCTTGATCTTCTTGCATTTTGTGAATAATTGCAGCATCTTCGTTAACTTTAGTTTGCAATTGTTCAATTTGTCTAGCAAATCCTTGTTTCTCAGCAGCATGGCTCTCCAAAATATGTTGCATACGTGTATGCAAAGTTTGAGTTTCTGTTATTTTATTATTCAGTGCTTCCTCTAGTTGTCTTACATTAGCAGATAATCTAGATCTTTCAGAGTTAAATTCGCTACGTAATTCTTTCAATTTAGTTTGAAATGCAACGCTAGCTTCGTGTTCTTCAGTCAATGCTTTTTCCTTCTCTGCTAATTGCTTTTTTAATTTAATCACAGGATCAGCACGGCCTTCAGTCCACTCCGAATGTTCCGACGGGTTATCCATTTGCATGTTTAAAAGTTGCTCTATAATGATTTGTATTTCTGAGCGACTAAGTTCAGCTTTTTGAATGAAAAGCATCAAAAGAGAAACGTCAACAGCATCTTTATCACCACCTATGGCATAAAATTTAAACAAAATAAATAAATATCAATATGTAAATGTTACGATTATATTGAAATATATAAGATATAAATGTGTAAGCTTACCAATCTGAGCCAAAATATCATTTTTTTTCTTTGTTTTCTTAGATTCCTTATTAGATAATTGTATTGCTGGTACAGGATCTTTAACCACTTCTTTTACTTCTTTTACTTCCTTTACAACTGCTTCCTTCTGCTGTTCTTTAATCTCTTTTACAACTTCTTTATTTATAACAGCAGGTGACGCGTTAACGTTAACATTTGTTTCTTTTTTTTCTTCCTTAACATTTTCATCTTTCTTCTTAATCAATTCTTTAACATTTTTCTTCAATTTTGTTGGAGTTTCCTTCACAGGTTTACTTACCATCGGCTCAGATTGATTAATTTGATTTATTTGTGGAAGATTTTCTTTCTATTGTAGGAAAAAAATACAAATAATAGTTAATAAAAATCAATAAATTCAATGAAAAGCACACTTGTGGTTTGTATTTATAAAAACTGTTATATTTACTTTTTGAAATAATTTTAATATTATTAACCTAACTTAACCTAAATTAAAAAAATAATAATAAAAACTGTAACATAAATTATAATAATAAATATGTTATAACACATTGATCGTCGTCATTTAACAATTTCTTTTATACTCAGATATGAAATAATTGTCTCAATGAAATATAATTATTATAAAACAATCAATATGTTATAAATGAAATAACAAAAATTATCGTTAAATTAGATTTGCATAGACATGCCTTATCCCTTTTTAAAATGCTTGCATTCCGATTCGATAACCAAATGATAATTTGAAACGAAAGAATGATACATATGTGAACCAAGCAGTTATACCAAAAGCGAATAACTCACACTATGATTCCGTATGAGTTCGAGATCATCCTTTGGTTGAATAAGCTCAAAATGATTAGTTTCTCCCAAGATATGCTGTGAAGAACTTATTTCGGATGCAATAGCCAAAGGTTCATCTTTATTAACGAGGATCGGCTTTACCTTTTCAGGCTTACCTTTCTTCTTACTTGCCTTATTACCCTCCTGTGATTTCAATAGAAATAGAAAATGTTTGCTAAATATTTGTCACAATGTTAAATAATTATAAGTATAAAATAAAGCCAGATAATATATTATTTAAAATAAAGCCAGATATATTAAAAATATTATTTAATTTGCAATAATCTTTGGGTAGCATTACATTAAATTAAATGTGTATAAAATGGAGAGAGAGAGAGAAAGAAAGAGAAAAAGAGAGAGAGATAAAAAAGAACAATTTTTGAATAAACTATTTATAAAATAATAGAAATTAATGGATTTAATTTCATAAATATATTAATAAAGTATTATTAAGAAAAAGTTGTATGTTATGATAACAAAATGTTTGTTCATAGTATTATCACGACACAGAATACTTGCAAGTATGAAATATTGATATTTCTTGTTAGAACTAACAACGACCGAACAAAGATTGATTTCATTTTAAAAAGGTATATCATTATTATGAATTTATTTTCACCTTATAATGGGTTTTATTTTGACTTCTTGCTGAACAGATATACCTGAAATTCACAAATCCATCATGTCAATTTGTTTAGTATTTATGGAGTATATTAAATCTCCTTAGGAAGAAACTTTGTAAATGGTATTAATATTTTTTAAACTGGCTCTATAAGTTTAGTCATTTCATTCGAATATACTATGCAAAAGTTATCATTTAAGATAATACATTTGATTTAATAGAATGTACTGCATAATTATGTTAACAATTTTTTACTGGCTTTATAATTATTTTATTTTTAATAATTAAAACAATATTTATATATAAAAATATGTAACGAATAAGTAAGAAAGAATGGAAAGATTTAATGGAAACTTGTTTAGTAATATAAGGTATCTACTCTTACTCTGCTGCGTTTAATCTTTATGATAAGGTAATACAGCAAATAACTAGTATGAGTATCAGTCCCATGTTGTGTGTATAAGAAAGTTATTAATAGCAACGAATTTAGAAATTCCAAATTTATCTAAAAACCATATCCATATAAATACATATGCATATATAGTGTTATAACTTTACTAATTAAGCTTCAATACATATATTATTATTATTATTATTATTATTATTATTATTATATATATATATATATATATATATTAATGGTTAACTTATCAATACATACATACTATACATATATATATAATGAGTGTGATAATTTTACTAATTAAGTTTATACTATTATATTTGCTATTATAAACAGTCTATTATGAAAGTGGCGAAAATCTATTTTAGAACAAAAAAAAATGAAAAACCATAATTTTTATGAATTATAAATAGAACATCAAAATTAAATGTTTCTTATTATCTTTTTTCCAAAAATAAACTTACACTACTTCCATATAAAATGATTAATATATTAAGAGTTTATTCATAAATTTAAAAGCACAACTTTAGTGTAATTGCAGACTCAAATAAAATAAATTATAATGAAAAAATAACTGTAATATAAATACTCTTTTATCTACGTATTACTTTCTTCTTTGATTATCAAAAATATATACAAAAATTAAATGTATAATAATTATTCTATTTAGACTTACCAGGGCATTTTTGTTTTTCTTTCTATAGGACATATGTATTCTCAAAATTACAAACAGAGAGAGAAAGTTATGTATCTTCTTATTGAAACTCAACTACTAATTTTGCTGCCAAGCAAAAAATAATAGAAATGAAATAACAAATTTCATTTGTTTTCTAAAAACAATTGCATTAAAACAAAAAATTCTTTGAAGTTAGGCATTTATATATTGCCATGGAAATTAAACCAATTGAATTAAGACAAGCATTTACTTGAATTTAGACATTTATACATTGCCAAGGACATGTTTGGTAACTAAGAGGTTAAATGTTACATGTATATTTACCATATACTTATTCGGAATTATTAAAGTATTGTTTTGAATTGAGTTTAAATAATGTATACCTAAATACATATAATAATTTTAACAAGGAATAACATATTCTGTACTATCAACAAATAGGTTAGATTTACTTCATTCAATACAAACAGTAAATAAAAATTAACAAATTTGGTTATAATTTTGCAAATTTCTACATATTTCTTCTATTTTCTCTATTATCGACAAATATGTTAGATTTGCTTCATTCTACAATTAAAAATACAAATTCTAAATAAAAGTAACACAATTTTTATTTCTCTCTATAAAATTAATTAAATAGTAAAAACTTAAATTCATAAAATCGACTGATATTCACAAAATCGTATACACATGCAAACTTATACGATTAATTTTCAATTGTACTGTTACGACGCAATTTCTTTATAACTTTTTTTTTAAGATTGCATCGCACCGTGACAGGAATATGATGCTGCATGCACGAATCTTATACGTGAACATACTAGCATGATATTTGATACATGACTTAGCATACCATGTTTCATGCACGAGATGTAAAATGTGTCCGCATATATATACATATACACATGAATGATATGTGAATAAAAAATATAAGCTTTTTCCTAGATTTAAATGATAGGTATGATCATAAAAGCTTTTTTTCTCATTTTTAAAAATACTATAAGCATGTAGCATGCATGAACTACTAATACATTTTTATTTACATTTTTTAAGATGTGTAATATTAGAAACAAAAATCAAACAAATAAATTAAAACTTATTGCTTAAATATAAATCGTACCTGCAATGGCAATTCAGATGTCAATATTTGCGGCGTGTCCTCAAACTGAACATGTTCTGGTTTTTCTTCTTTTCCATCCTTCTCATCTTTTTCTTTCTTTTCCTTTACTTTCTTGCCAGATTTATTCTTATGCTTTTTATCCTTGCTCTTATCTTTCTTACCTAAATATAAGTAGCATGAAATATCAAATTAGACATAATATCTTTATAATAATGTAATAAAAAAATGTATTAACCCTTAGTCAACCGTGTATGCCACAGCTAACTATATGCATTTTCACACAGTGCATTTTCTGCAAGTAAGGCAGATTAGTATTCATTACTTCAAAAATAAAAAACGTCTTAAAATTATTTAAATGTACAGATTTTTAAAAAGCGGAAAAGTACTCAATGAATTGCGAAAAACTATAGCTCAAGACTGATTAATAACAAAAAAAAAAGAATACAGAATAAAAATCATACATTACTAAGGTAAAAATGGGAGATCTCTCTAATCGGTCATTAAATAACTTACTTCAAAGCGGAGAGATCTCCCCATCTGGTTGACTAAGTGTTAAAATAGAATAATAAAATAGAATAATAAAATAGAATAGAATAATTTTACTAACTCAATAAAAGATCATCGGATAGTTTTCTCTGCTCAGCTATAGCTTCTTCATATGATTTTCCTTTCATTCCATACAATAAAATTAGATGTACACTTAATCCTGCGAGAATAAGCAGCACTACATATATTAGCAGCATCTCCATTTTGTCTTTTTTTCTGTGAAGAAAATAAAGCAAATTATTACATGTGACGTGTCATGAATTAATACATACAGTTACATCGTCAAAAAATATTCCAAATTGTTCAATAAAAAAATCTAAGCTTATTTGAGTATTTGAAAACAAATATACAAAAAATAAGGTCGATGATATATGAAGAAGAAATTCGACGTGAATTGATTTAAAAAGTACATATAATAGAGAAGAAAAAGAAAAGAAAGAAAGAATCTTTGAAGAGAAGTCAAATTTTAAATGATAAAAGAGAAACTTTAATTGATATATAATATATAAAAAAAATACTATAAAATTATATACATCTACATTTAAATAAATATTACAAGTCAAAGTCTAAGGATTGAAAATTGGAAAAAAGGTCATATGGATAATGACATATGGATGACAGTGTGTCAGGTCATCGACACGACCGCAAGAGATGACTACATAGTCATCTTACCATAAATCAACCAAAGAACCGGCAAAATTATATATAATAATATCGTTCCAATACTTGAGTACAATTAAACAAATTAGCAAATGTTTTTATCTATGTTTCATTAATACTTACCCAATGATATTCGATTGAATGTCTGTCGATTAAAGTAATTGCAAGATGTACAAGAGGTAATCAGTTCTTTTTCAAAGAAGCATTACTACTATTCACACGCGACGACTTCTTAAGAATTATGGCGACTGCTGAACATTAGAGAGACAAGCATACGTGTTTCAAAGCCACGCCTATCGAAATCTCTTCTTTCCTGATTGGTGGTAGACTCTGCCACGTATGCAAGAAGACAGCTCAATATTAACAAAAATTACGTTCATTAGCGAATTTTAACAATTATCATCAACTATTGATAACCTAGTTTTTAATTTACATCACTCTTATCCTAAACGACACAAGCATAAAAGGGTCAATACATTTGTGTGATTATATGCAACCAACAATCGCCAACAATCTACTGCAGGCAGAGTTGCCAACTTCACAGATCTTAAGTTGGAAAATTCTTTTTCAATTCTTTTTTTTTCCTTTTTTTCATAACAATAAGGAAGAGTTTCTATCATAGTTACTCCACAAAAAAAACATAATGGTAATGATAAACAATTTAATATAACATATTGTTAATTGGAAATAATATAATAGAATTCCAATGTAATATAATGAATATAGATAATAATATTTGTTTCTTTATCTCCTTCTTTTTGATAATCATTATTTTTTATTCTAGATTTTGATTTTTTTTTTTTCTGGAAAATGCATTTTTTCTTCTCTTTTCTCCTCTAATAATTTTATTCTTTTTATCAAAATCAACATATTACATATTAACATTGTGGACATTATTTAGTAAGAAGGAAATACCCAACTGCAATTATTATACTTGTAAGAGTCAACTTCTATTTATAACTAGATGTTTGCTATAGCGAGCATGTAAAAAGAAAAAAAATTGTTTTATTAATATGCTCGACAAGAAAAATTAACGTGAAACATTTTTATTGCGCATGTATATTATTTTATATTATATTTATAATCAATTTTTTTTTTCAAATAATTTTTTGCTGATTTTGTTTTGTTGTAATTTAAGCAATAACAAATTATAACGTCTTTAGAAGACTCGGTTAAATTAATTCTAGAACGAAAAATATAATAATTCTAATATTTAATAATAATAATAATAAAAATAAAAGTTGTTATACGATCTTTTCATACGAACGAATATAACAAAATATTATTAATATATTGGTACACGAAATTGCACTTATGAATTACTGACAGTTTCGAGTTTTAATCTAATCGTAAAAATTATTTAAAAGTACAAATCATTGTGCCAAATGACAAAGATTATTTGTTCTACCATATAATATCTAACAATCTTAAATTACGAGAATACGAATGTAAAGCTTGCATTTTTATTTTTACAAAATGTTTCACTTTATAGGAATCATTAATTTGCATATGTAAATGGATAAATTTATATATTTATATGTGTTTGTATATATATATATATTTATGTATGCTTCCTGTTCTTCTCACAATAGAAGTTTTACGCAGGCAAATATTGTTCGAAATATTTTAATCCTTTTTTTTTATTTATGTTCATATAATTCCACACTTCCTGCAATATCTACTTCGATCTTTAACTAAATTTTTCGTTGAAGCGTGTGTATTTGTTTCTCTAATCAGTCGATATATATAATTTGTTTGTTTTACCTTTTTTTTTCTCTCTTTTACCTTTCCCTTTTATCTTCTTATTTTTCTTTTATATATATATATTATATATATATACAAATGCAAATATTATAGGTAAGGCAAATAAATCTTATTTATCGTAAAGTTTGTTTCATATATATATATATCTATACATAATAAAAAAATTCATTTATATTTTTAAATTGAGGAATGTTCATGCAACTGCTCGTGCCTCTGGTAGAAAACTTTCCCAATATTTGATCAGTTGGTTTTGATGTTGTAACATCGCTTCGAGATATTCCATTAATTGTTTCTTAAAGTCTTCCACTCTGACTAATTCGAAACGTTCAACCTCTTTCTTTATCATCTTCGAAATATTATCAAATTCTTCTTGACTTCTCTCCACTTTCGCCTCCCATTCGACAACTTCGGTAGCAGCTTGACTTGTTTTATCGGTTCTACCGGATTGTTCCAATCTAGCTTTTTGTTCCCGTTTTTTGTTCAACATCATTTGAGCATGCTGCCAATTTTGGAATACTTTAACACGTTCGTGAAAAACATCCTGAACAAAAATATTTACATTAATTATTACATTTTGTATTTTGTTTTCTCTTTTAATTATTCAACTTTTTCCGTATATCTTTGCGTTTTATTTTTGTATTAAATCTATATGCATTGACCAACCTTAATAGCACCCATAAGCGCGACATAATCTCTTAACATTTCTCCAAATTGATAAAGATCGCTATTGCTTTGTGCTTTTCTGATTACTTCTACTTTTTCCAAGGTTTCGGCTAATTGTGCTAATGCTCTACCAAGAGAAGCTCCTGGCTCCCCATGACCAAGAACCGCAACTGCTCTTGCTGTTGCTCCCGTGCAATTAGCAAGTTCCCTTCTTTGATTAGTTAAAGTATCAACAGCAGAGTGTAAAGCACGTAGTTGAGTATCAAGAGATTCAATTTGTGAAGTTTTTTCTTCGAACCACTGTAGGAAACAAAATATTATACTAAGTGAATATGTTATATTAAAAATAATCTTTTTCTATGTATGGTAATATGATTCTCACTGGATCACTTTCATCCATTTTATATGTTATCTTGTTAACAGTTTCTCCAACTTTATTAAAGAGTCTCATTACTCCAGCACCGCTCAAAGCAGATGTATTAGTTGCTTTAGGTAATTCCATATCTAAGCAAAATTTCATTCAGAAATTTATTTAGAAATTCTTGATATGTATATATATATCAATATACATATATAATGTAAAATTATACCAGCTTCCAAAAATTCTCTAAAATCAGGATCTACGCTTAGAACTGGATGTGCCGCAGTTCTATTTACATATCTTTCGAGAGCAGCTCTACGGCGTTCAATGAACTCCGTGGAACTGGAATTTTGTTCTTGATTCTTGTCACCAGACATCTTTATTTTTGTTGTACCTAATAATATAATTAATATTTAAATAAATATACTCGAATTCAAAAGAAGTATTAACATAAAGATAAAATAAAAATACCGATAACGCTTTTTTCAGGCGCAGGTGGAATAATTCTACCATTTCTTAGATATTTATCGGTTAATTTATCATGAAGACCAAGAAAATCACTGAACCTTCTAGTGACGCTAAAATTGCGCTTTCTAAATATTGGCATATTAGTTCTAGTTTCAACTTTATAGGCCATGTAAGCACCCATGCCATCGCCTATTTTTTGAGGTGAAGTAACTGTGATTTTAAGGAAAACATCAGTCGAATCGCCTGGTACCTATAATAAAAAAGAAAAGAAAGTATTAAATAAATCTATGACTTAAATTAAATTAAAATTTTATATACACCTCTTCGAACGATTGAGATTTGATAACATTTGTTGACAATGTATCCACATTGTCATTAATAGGAACGTCATGCAGATCTCCGATATCACTGCTCATTGGACCTAATGGCGGACTTAATGGACCTGGTGGTGGACTTGATACTGAAGAAAATGAATTTTCTTCCATCGCATCTCGTAAGGTCAATTTGGGTAACTCTGTTTGGAGTGTTGATACACCATTGTAAGGGGAGGAATCTTCCAATTGACTTTGATCCTAAAAAGGAATATGTTAAAACTGTATCAAAAAATGCTAATCTTATATTTTTTCTTGATTAAATTTTATCAATATATATATATACGTATTTACAAATAAAGATAAGCTCAAAAATAATATTTGAACAGTTAACCATTACATACATTTTCTACAATCCTAGAAATAATGAAACATTAAATTTTGAAAATACAAATTACTAAATATAATTAATTACTGAAATTTATTTGATAAACTTATTGTTAATAATATAAAATTAAATAATCTATTTGTTAATTTAAAATTTGAATTGATTGAATAACATTTTTATATTATTATATGAAATTTTAAATATTTATATATATATATATATATATATGAAATTTTGTTAAATTTCAATGACATTAGAAATGAGATTAGAAAATTTGTGTTCTTAATAAAAATTGTAGGTAAATGTAAAATGAAAAATCTATAGAATTTGAAAATACCTGTATCGCAGAAGCAAAAACATCATCGTCATCATCCTCCAAATCGTCACTTTTAGTTTCATTAGTATCAAATAAAGGCGGAGTGTCTTTAATATCAGCCATCTTAGCGGTTCTGTCAATCTATGATGTCAAGTTGTTATAGGGATCGGCCCCCACTGAACAATTACTACCGACGTCAAATAAACTAGATTCTACAAAGCGTTATCAACTTTACAAAAAGCTGTATCTCTAGATAAACGCGCGCGTTGTCACTATCTCTAATAATATGCATATATGTATCTTTTATTGAAAGAATATGTTCAAAATTCGATACAACAAACATTAATAATATTATCTTTCAATAACCAAAAAATATTCAATTAATAATTAAATCGAAATAAAATTAAAATTATATATACAATATTAATTAAAATCGATTAGATCGATCGATTTATTTATTATTTAAATTTATTTAAAAGTATAATGAAACTAACGTTGTCTGTTTACGCAAGTTAATGGCGGAAAATTTAAAATAGTTAAAGTTAAGCACAGTGTATTCATTTTCTTTTAACTTTCAATGTTTATATATTTTAAGTATATTACTACTTTTTTATAGATATTATAATATATTATTTTATAAATTTAAAAGTGTATAAATCAAAGTGTTGTTTTATTTTGTTAGTGATAAATGTAAATAATGTTCAGAAATTTTAATGCTTTGATTCTTATAAAAAACATGATATTGATAGAATATAATTACTTGGTTTAACATTCATACTTATAAATTAGTTAAAAATGCTGCAAATATCTAGATTAGAAGTTAATGTTAGAAGACTTTTAGGACGTTGTGAATTAATGGCTAAAGATAATTCACAGAAGGATTGGAAACTTGAAAAGGTTATTTTATATCAATTTTCATATTACTAACCTATCTATTATTTTGTTTTCAATGAAAATAATTCTTGCTATATTTGTAAATATTTATTCGAACATATTATATAAACATGTATTATTTTTTGTTGCAGTACATACTTTCTCTAGATGAAATGATAAAAAAGCTGCAAACCTTACCTGAGTAATTTCATTTGATACTATAGATTCATATAAAAAATAATTAATTTTAAAAGATATTGTTAAATAAAAGATGATTTTCTTTTAGCAAGCCTTCTAAAGATGTTTTAACAACATACATTAAGAGACTTGATTTTTTAAAAGGCATTGTTAACACAGCCAAGTTAAATAATCCTGATGAAAGAGTAGCTGCTGTACAAATGTTATCTAAGGCATCCAATGCGAATGATACTCTTGGTCCGAATATAGCAACACAGATACATCAGAAAACTACGGCAAGATACAATCAAGAGTTACGTGCAGAATTATTTCATACCGAAAAGGGTAACAAAACCTATATTATAAGCAGGTCTCATATAAAAATAAGAAATTTAAAAAAACACAACATAATAAAGCAGACATATGCATATTCAATTTAAGGATCCTTAGACGATGGAATTCGACATAGATATCCTAGCACTACTATGCAGGATGAAGATTTAGATGCGTTAATGAAATTTAATCGTAACATTCAAGAAAAGATTGCTGAAAATATGCTCTCTATGACTAGCAGCATGAAGGAGCACGCTTTGGCAGCAAGTGCTATAATCAAAAAAGATATTGGAACTTTGGAAAAGTCTGATAAATTAACTAATGTTAATACTGGAAAATTAAAAACGGAATCTTTGAAGTTGGAGGAACATACCAAATCTAATTGGAGATGTTGGGTTTGGTTAATGATCGCATTTGTACTTGTAGTATTTTTTAGTAAGTACAATATTTATTTTTATCATATATTTTTAATGAAGCATTTAAGAGCTAATATTTATGTAATATTGTTTTCTTATTTTTACTTAAAAAATATGATGGCAAGATTGTGCAGAAAAAACTGGAACATACTGTATATCAAAAATATTAACATTTTTTAGTTACAATAATCATTAAATTATTTTTCTGCAATAATATTTCATAATGTATATATTTTTTATGTTATAGACATGGTACTATTCATGAAAATATCAAAGAAGAAAGTTTAATGCATAATAATAATAATAATAATAATAGTAATAATAATAATAGTGGTAATGATAATGATAATAATAATAATAATAATAATAATAATAATAATAATAATAATAATAATTTTATAAAGGAAATGTATGTTGTGTACGTAAAATGTGTGCATAAGATAGTGCATCAATGTGAATTGATGTGAATATAGCTGTATGTGTCATTTAGTGGTTTATGATGGTAAGAGTGCTTTCTTCATGATGAATATGTCTGTGGAAACACCTGTTCCACCCAAAACTAGCTGGAAACCTGGTAAATACCTATTTAAAAACATCCTTCCTAAAATTTTATATATTTAATGATAATTTATAAAATTAATATATTAAATTATTATGGTGTATTATAATTAAATTATGTATCTAGAAATATATATATATATATTTCTGCATTTCTTTGTAAATTGTTTTGTTACTAGGAAATATTCATTAAAAATATTTAAATATAAATTGATTTTTAAAAATAATAGAAATAATTAATAAATAAGATTTTTTATATAATCGAATGAAAAATCATAGAAATATCAATAAATATTTTACAAATCAAATGTCACATTGCGTGTTTCACCTTTATCCAAATATAGTGGGTTATTAGTTAACAAACATAATCTAATTATGAACAAGTTATCAATTGATATAATTCTACAAATCTTAGACACAGTGGTGTTTCTTTTTTTGGTTGTTTTGTGAAGTGTTTGTTGTTTGATTTGTTCATAGTCTGAACTGTTTGTTAACCGATCACCTACAGTATAATATTATAGTAAAATATTACAATAAAGGATTTTCTTTTAAGGTAGGGTTAAAGTAGTCAGAGCATTGTACAAATATACCGCCCAACAAGTAAGCCAAATTATTTTCTATAATATGATATTAAAAGTTATTTTCTTATACCATTGATTATTAGATAAATGATGTTTACTTCTCATAGGCGGATGAATTATCCTTCGATGAAGGGGACGTACTTTATGTTTATGAGAAGGATGTAGACAGTAATTGGTGGAAAGCTAAATGTGGAAGCCGTGAAGGCCTCATACCTGTTAATTATGGTTAGAATTATATTTAATGATGATGTTGTTATAATACTTACAAATTATTTATTTTATTTTTCACTTTCATTTGTAGTCGAAGAACAAATGCAAGAAATCTTACTGCCATTACACGAAGCTGCCAGACGGGGAAACATATCATTTTTAAAAGAACACCTGAAACAAGGAGTATCGGGAACTGGTTTAGATGCAGCAGGAAATACCCCATTGTATTGGGCTGCTTCTACAGGTCACATCGATTGTGTTAAAGAATTACTATCTTTACCGAATTCCGCGATCAATGCACAAGTATATTCAATCTTCAGATCATATTAAATTGTTTCATTGCAGCAGTTTTTCAAAGTGATTTTTACAATTGATTTCAGAATAAAATGGGAGAAACACCTTTACATATCTCAGCGAGTCATGGACATTTAGATATAGTTAACTTATTACTTAAAAATGGTGCAAATCCATTTATTAAAAATAATGATAATCTCACTGCTAAAGATTTGTCTTCAGACATGGCGATTAAAAATGCGATACAATTAAATCAATTGCAACCTGATATAAAATGTGGATATACGGATGACGATTATAACGATGGAAGCGATTCAGAATAATTTTGTATTTAAAATTTATAGAAGTTTATAGAAAGTTAAACAAAAAATTTAATTAAAATTTTAAATAACGGTTATTTAAATTACAGTACAAGTATCATACAATATTTTCCTATTTCTTTTCTAGCATATTGCAAATGTTAAACAATTTGTTGTATATAACTGTATAAGTATAATAATAATTTATTTTCAAGTAAAATGTTTAAATGACAAAAATAATTTGCAATTTTTATTACAACTTTACAGTTTTTTTACTAAACCATCTATTAAAATCTAATCTCAATAATAATTGAGCTAAATGTTCTCCACTGGGTTGTGAACGAACTCGATTTAGTGTTTTTGTCAACCAGTCCATTAAACAATCGAGCGTATCGGAAAGTGTTTTTAATTCTTCTTTCTCTGTAACGAGCAAATTAGCAACTTCCCAAGTGGATGCTTGTAGAATGAAATCATCGCAGAGTCTTAACAAAAGGCGTATCAATTTATTTACCTGATAAAAAAAGAATTTTTATTAGATTCATTAGAAGAACAGTGCAATTTATTATAACAAAGTATTATTAATGACAATAATAGATTGGAATATGAAAAGTCTGTTGTAGTGAAATAGTTATGTACAAGTCTGTTGTAGAAACCTACTGGATTCTTTCTCTCTTTAATATTGCCGATTAAAAATGTTTGCGACATAACATTAGCCAAAAAAATAGAATGGGCCTTTTGCACGTCTTCAAAATTTTTCGTATTTTTCACATTGCTTTCCATTATAGCATATTGACTTTCTAATACGTCCACTTGCAAATAATACTGTAAGTTGTCGACAATGAAAATTAAGTTATTTCGTAACTGAATTACGCCGATATCGCTGCAATTATAAATGATTTTATGTAATAAATTGTTAAATATATATATATCTATATATATATAATGTATAACAGATAAGTAATTCAATCATACATACATATTTTTAAATTGCATATGTTCGCTCCATAGATTCCATAAATCTATTTGCGTTTTTTTCACCCTTAATAAAAATCGGAATAACGAATTATAATCGTTCAATGCATTTGGGCTAAATAATAAATGTAACGGCCAAACAATTTTATATTTTAAAATTATCAAACCCCAACCACGTTTTTCTATAAAAAAGAAAATATTCTAATATTAAATATTTGATTTCTTTTCAACATTAAATAAAAGATTTTATAATTAGTTAAAACAAAGTTATACCAATAGGATCTTCCAGCTCTTTTTCCGAAAAATCATTACATCCGATCAAATCGTCGTCACTATTTGTTTTAATTTCAGGAATTGGTACAGTGAAATTAAAACTATCCATAGTACTCTCATCACTTAGGTGCATTTTTCTTATTGCAATTTGAAAAGCAAGATTAATATCTCTGGATGTATGATTCGTTGGTGGTTTGTTTAGAATATGTGCAGTTAGCCTAATAAATTCTCTGAACAAGTCGCCACGACCCATTAAATAAAAATCTTTCATTGATTTTAGCTGTTGCAAAAGTTGAGCTTCTTCTACAGCAACTTGCCATAAAAGTTCTGTTACGCATTGTTTTAACTCGTCGATGGTCCTTTCAAATTCAATAATATTAAAAATTGGTTTGGACTGAAGATTTTGTAGTTTTCTAAAATATTCGTATTCTTTTTCACCCCATATCGAATTATCAGCTTTGGTGACTACACTGAAATCTGGTAAAGTAATCTCTTTTAGTAATTATAGTAAAAAATTATTCTACACAATTCTTCATAATCGAACAATCATTTTATTTACCTTTCTTTTGCCTAGGATCGTTGCCAAACATTATGATGGTTTGTCCTATAGTTAAAATTTTGGTTGCCAACGATGGTCCGATATGAGAAGGAAGCATATCTATCTGAATATCATAATCCCACATGTCCAAGCTATTCTTTTTATGATTACTTTCTTCATAACTATTGGTAGTATTTTTTTTATCAGTTGATGACGAACTATTCTGACTGTTAGATACTTTCTGAATGAAAAATTCATGATACACATCTTCAAGATGTCCGTATAAAAGCCAGCTTGTTAACTGTTTATAAAAAATTACATGTAGACAATGTATCATCCTAAAAACATAAGATTAAAAGATATGAGACATAAAAAAATGTTAATAGAATCTAACTTACTTACTTTTCTAACGCTACTTCAACTTCAGGTATACCAGTGTGCATATGCTGATGTAGACATTGTATTAATTTACAACCATGTAGCCTTTGTGTATTTATCTACAATTATTATAACAAATACATATGAATTTTTGAAATTGCTATTATAATATTTTATTAATCAGAGTATAAAAAATATAAAATGATTACTTCGCGTATGATGGAGTTCAAGACAGAAAACAAGCATACGTGTTTTTGTACTTGACAAAGTATGTACGATACTGGTGTATAGCTGTTAGTTAAAACAGTATTTTCTAACTCTATAACGTCTTGGTGAAAAGGTTCTAAAGCTTGATTCATTCCATCACAAAGGGCTCGCTGATAAAGACCTTCAATATCTTGTGATTCTGTGTATGTAAAAAGAATATTTCAATTTATAATTTTATTTTGTCAGAAAAATCTTAGACACTTTGTATTTCTCTTCAACACTTATTACGTTGAAAATATAAGTAATTATCATACCAGTTTCATTGATTTCGCATAAGTTTGTATGCACGTTGATGAACTTTCTAATCGTGTTGCATTGTTTGACAATGTCAATTATTTTTGTTACTAAGGCACGTTCTCCAGGATGAAAATATTTATCTAAATTAACAGACTGAAATAAAAAAGTAAGAACAATTAATATCAATGAATTTGGTTATATACATCAACGAACTATGGTATTTGTAAGTAATTCAAACTTTTTAAATTTTAATTCTTACATCAATCTCGAGCATTTCCATTAAACTGGTCGAACAACCCCATAGGGACACTAAAATTTCATGTAACATTTTTTAATGTAACTGTTTCCTTTAAAATAATATTTTTTATCACAGGCATTTAACAAAGCTTTAAATATAATATTAGTAGTTTTGTGAAAAAACTTATGCGAAAATAATTATACATCGTATACTTTTTTTTTAACACAACATTCTTAAAGATCGGATATGGTTTGTTTTGTTATGACAACGATCCTAGTAGTTACATTGTGAACTATTTTAACCCTTCATATTCATAAGCTTATTTATTTAAAATGATTTAAATAAAATGAAAATATTCAATTATCAATTGTAATATTTTTAATGTCATTGTAATTTTGTCTATATTTTATTTTATTTTAATAGAAAAAATGTGTAAAAAAGATTGTAAAAAACAAATAGTTCGAATACTTTTTTATCATTTAGTTTTGCTTTCCATCAGAACCATCTAGTGTAAGTTTTTAGAAGTATATTGTCAGAGAACAAAATGGCTCCTTTTATGAATTGTAAATTTTCGTACCTGCATATTTCTCTAATATCTTTAATTTATTTTATTAGTTTACTACATAATAATCATTTTTGCAATAATCAGATAAAACTATTTATACTTAAGGATTTAGTATGATTTAATTATGTGTATAGTTATTTGAAAAAGTTCAAATTTATAAGAGGAAGTATCTTTGCAAAAAATACTAATAATAGGGTTGTGCAATAATCATATTATATTCCTATGATTACTTTTTATAAGTAACATACTAATATTTTATTTTTATTATAATAAATAAAGAAACAAGAATTAATTGTATTAATCATTTTAAAGAATAATTAATATAAAATTACTATTATTTATATTAAAAATATACGATGTTATATGAATCTTCAGAATTTGAAACGCTTCCTTTGCAATTTATGATGACTAAATAGGAAGGAATATTGGATAATTTTTGATTATAGTATAAAAATATATTAATTAAATAATCTAATTAATTGGTCGTAATTGTATACTTTGAATACTAATTAATATTTCAAAATGAAATATTATAAATAAATTAAAACTATGTTACATTTGGGAAGGATTAAATGATATTAGAAAAAAAGCCATTGTTATATATAGAATAATACTCTTTATTGTTTTTGATAGTTGTTGTCGTCGCTGCTGTTGTTGTTTTTGTTGTTGTTCACATATCGTACGTTCTTGCTTTGCCTTTTTATTTATCGCTTGCTTTAATTCATCCTAATCATCATCATTATCATCATCATCATTCGCCATTAGGAATTTGGTAGAACAATGTGTATAACAAGTTTTTTTAATACTTAACTCGAAAAACATAATAAATGAAAGGGTATGAATTGAGGCAACGCGCATCGGTCGCTCGAAAAGTGCGCGTACATTTTTTTTCCTCAGGAATAAAAGTAAAGTAATTGCGACACGTGATTATTCGTTCATTATTTTATCTTTTTAATCTATCACCGTAATTAAAAGGGATTCTTCTAATAGCTTGAGTTTATTAATTAAACGTTTAATTCTTTTGAAAGAACAAATAACGTGTTTTCTTTTCTTTTTTGTGTTCTTTCTTGTTTTATTTTTTTTTGTTTTTTTTTAATATTGATGCAATTTTTGTTCCGAAATTTAATCGAGCGATCGACGTTTGCCTCGGAAGAAGATACCACGCACCCTTTAGAAATTTGTTTGTTCTCTTAAATATATCTATGAATTAAAAAGTGAGCGAACGAGCGCGCGCGAGGAACGCCATGATTCTTCTCGGATACGGAGTGGAAACGTAAGTTGTGTATAGAAGAAATAAGTACTTATTAGATGATGTGCGAAAGGGGGAAGATTTCAATGTTCTTTTGCCAAATTTTATATTTTATATTTACGTTCTAGAGAGAGAGAGAGAGAGAGAGAGAGAGAGGGAGAGAGAGAAAGAAAGAAAAAAATATAGAGATAAGAGACATTGAGAACGAAAAAAACAACGATTTTGTCATTTTTCTTTCGATCGCGCGATTATCGAAGAGCAAAAGAAAAAAGAGAAAAAAACAGAAAGACAAATTGGAACGCCATTTTCCAAACTCGCGTTCGATTTCTTCACGCAGGCGTTCCTTTATGAGTGTTTTTTTTAGTTTCTTTTCGTCTCTTCTTTCTCTTTTTCTTCTTCTCGAATCTTCGCGCACCCTATTCTATCATTATAACCTCTCCTTTATTTTCTTTCTATTCTTTTTTATCATCTTTTCTTTTTCATATAGATTTTCTTATATAATATTTCGAACAAATATACCAGAAAAGTATATTTTTATGAATGAAAAATACGATCGTTTCGCTTGTTCATCGCAATTTTGATCCGATTTTTCCCCTCCTCTTTTCTCTCTCTCATTTTCTCTCTCTCTCTCTCTCTCTCTCTCTTCTCTTTCTCTTTTTCTTCCCTCCTTCCAAATATATTATTCCATACTCCGTTAAAACGAACGTCATCGTGGCAATTCATCACCTATATGTGTATATGTGTAAGTGTCTCTGCGTGTACACGCGTGTAATATGTGTGTGTGTGTATCTTTTTTTTTACCTTTTTTATGCTTTAATTAATTAACTCTGTCTTTCTCCACATAACTGTCGTCCCTTGTTTTTTTTTACTTTTTATTCTTCACGCTACTATTTACAATGTACAACACGTTTCTTCTCTATCGAATCTCTTATTTTTTTTCTCCCTATTGTAGATTCGCGGCTATAACAGGACTCGCGCGTATTAAAACTATCATTCACGCTGACGTCGAGCGAACGATGATTTTTCATGTATGTGAGTAAGTGTATCTCATGTGAATGTGTGTATTATGTATGGATATATATGTATTTATGTTCCATATGTGTATATATCTGAGTATGCGCAGGTGTATCATGTATACATAAATATGAGTATGTGTATATGTATTATGTATGTGTGTATGCACGTATGCATGTATATTATTGAATTTAGTTGACGAAGGAGATACGAGGATCGGTCTTTGTAATAAGTTCGTGATCATATTGGAGTGGGTGGGTTGGTGGGGTAGCTTGACTCGACTCGACTCGACGCCGTCAGCACCTCGGTGTTTGAAATCCAGATAAAAATGGCTAACTAATTATCGGTTAGGTATCGTAATAGGAACTTAATCGTACATTTCTTGGCGCCATACCCAATATACATATGTGCATCATCGTCTCTATACATTATTTATATTATACATAGATATTATTATACTCGTGTCGACTTTTTTCTAAATGCAATCGCGACGGAGATCAACGATTCGTTATCCGCGTTTATATTACCGTTCATCGACACCAACACTTAGACTCCTTGGACGGATCGTCGCGTTTGTCGATCGACGAATTTTATTATCTTTTTATTTTTTTTATTTTTCAACTTCACTCCGATTTCTTTCGTTCTCTCCCTCTTCTTTTCTTCCTTTTACTTCTACCGCTTCTTCTTTATTTTCTACTTTTTTTTTGTATTCTTCGTTAAAAATTAATTATCAAAAAAGAAATGAATAATTCGACCTTATCCTCACATCCCTCTTCATCTCATTTTTCTGTATTATTTTTCTTCGTCTTTGTAATAAACGCGAAAAACGGAAGTGACGTTCGAAAAGAATTTGCGCGACGCTTAATGCGTTACGAGGATAATGCCTTTAATAAATTTATTTTATTCTTTTCTCTATCTCTCTCTCGCTCTCTCTCTCTCTCTCTTTCTCTCTTTCTCTCTTTCTTTCAATAAAACGATAACACGCGAGTCCCCATAGCCGTAAGTATTTTTCTTATTTGTTTGTTTGTTTCATCATCTTAATCTTTTTGTATCGCTCTTACAAAGGTAAATATATTTATATTTATATTTATATTTATATTTATATTTATATTTATATTTATATATATGTTTATATATATATGTATATATACAAATATATATTTATATGAATATATATATTTATAAATATACATATATATATATATATATAATAATATCTTATATTTGTATATTTTTTCACATTATATGCCTATTATATTCTTCTTTTCTTATTTATTTTACTTAAACAATAACTTTCTTTCTTACTCTCTCTCTCTCTCACCCTCTTTCACACCCTCTCTTTCTCTCTATCCTTTATCTGCGCATGTACTTATTTATAATATTTACAAAGTTTGTTTCCTTTCTTTCTTTCTTACATCCATTTTTTCCTTCCCTCGAAATATCGTAGTCACAGAAGTATAAATTTATTATACGACCCCTCTTATTATCTCAATTCTCTTTTAATTTGCGATATGCGCGTCTTGCATCGACTTTGTGTCGGTATAATAACATTCCTATTCCATTTAAGCCAGTCTTACGTTCACAATTTTTTATTCGTCTATTTTTCTTTTTTTTTTATCTGCACTCTTTTTAATTTCATTATCGATATTATTTCAATTTCACAATTTTTTGAAGTGTCGAAGCAAGACGCGCACAAGGACACCGATTACGCTCTTTCCTCTCTAATATTCGTTCGCACTTTCGCTAAAAGTAATATTGCTCGTCGTTTCGTATAAAATTAAAGAAGATAAAGACAAGTTTTGAAGAAAAATTAGAAAGAAAAAGATCGTAGGAGAAGCAAAAAGAAAAAACCAGAAAAGAAAACGTTCTTTTTTTTTGGAGTTAAGATTGGGGGATGTGATAACACACGAGAAGGTGGATAGGTGTAGGATTGAATTTAAAGGGTTGAGGAACGGGGATGATTTTGGAAAAATCGGCTAAAGTTTTCGAGAGAAAGAAAAGTCGATCGAACTTATTTTTTTTTCTTGCTTCTTCCTTTTCTCTCTTCTTCTTCTTCTTATATTTCTTTTTTATTATTTCTTTTGATAGGGAACTAACGTGTCTGGATATTTGGGATGACGAAATAGGGGGTGATTTTGGGTTTGGGTTGGTGTTGAGCGTCGATTCGTTGGTGTTGTTGCAGCGGCAAGAAAAAGAAAAGAGAGAACACAAATGGTTTCTCTCTAATCGCACGAGAGTCACCATCCGATTTATTACTTAATGTTTAGCATTGTTAATGTTTTCGTGTAACTTATGTACAAGATAATTCTTAAGAGCGTATTTCGTCTATCGCACTTAGTATGGTTTGTAATGTGCGCGCGCGTTTTTTTAAATTGTCTGTGTGAGTATGTGTCTGTGTGCAGTGTTTTCTCTCTCTTTTTCTCTCTCTCTCTCTCACTCTCACTCGCTCTATCTTTCTCTCTCTCTCTCTCTCTCTCTCATTTTCGATGTAAAATAGTACGACGGGATCGATGATTCGCGAGATTCGAGATCGGTATTTTGTTGTTGTTACTTAGAATTCCCAAGAGAGGAATCCTCACCATTGCCGATCTCTCACGCGAATTCGTCTTTTTTTCTTTCTCTACGAACGACATACATACCAAATCGATCTTTAACAAACGAATATATCATATCTGCGTGCACTTTTATTTATTTTGTTTTTGTATTTTTTTTTTTCTATCGAACAAGTCTCTCTCTCTCCCCCTCTCTCTCTATCTTTTTTTGTCTCTATCTTTGTCTCTGTCTCTCTTTTTCTTTTTCTTCACTCTTTCTCTTTCTCTCTATTTCTCGATCGATCCTCCCATTTAGCGCGAGACACCACTCAACGTCGTTGCTCGTTATGAAAATTTTGATATATGTAATAATCATTTGAAATACGATCATAAAACAACACTCATCCTCACCCTGCCCTTTTCCGCAAAACTAAGAAAAATCTTTCAATATGTGAAAAACACAACAATCAATCCGAGTCCAAGATTTCGATAGATTTATTTATTTATTTTTTTTTTTTGATATCGCACCGACAAGAGTCACGTCTCTGCTGCCAAGTTTAGACGAACGAGAATAGACATTTTCTTATGCATTTTTTTTTCTTATTCTTGACTAAATTCTCATTCTCGTCGTCATCGGTCATCGTCATTTTATCGAGCAAGTTTCCCTCCTCCGGCTTGGGCGTGTGGCAAGCGGGGCCACGCTTGGTTTATATACGTGTGTGTACATAGATACATTATGATACATTATTACGGGGAGATCAGTGGCGCGAGGGTGGCCATCGCTAACTACACCCATCGGGGGAGGGTAACAACTTTTTTTTTCTATTATCCCGATATCTCGAAATGTGCAGGTACGTAATTGTTTAGCGTCGCGCGTCGGAATCGTAAGGCGGCGGGGGGGATTTCCCGTTTCAAGGATCGGCACGCGCCGCCACGATCCGACCTTCATTCCTTCTTTCCCTCAATCCCTCCCTTTCTCTTTCTCTTCCTCCACCATCCTCTCCATTCACTCTCTATCTCTCTTTCTTTTTTTTCTTTAAATTATTTCTATCTCGAACTCAAACTATCATCGACTCGGGGAGACGCAACATGATATTCAGAATTAATCTAAATATTCAATGATGAATTAGAGAGAGAGAGAGAGAGAGAGAGAGAGAGAGAGAGAGAGTGCGTGAGTGAGTAAAGAGCTAGAAAGAGAGAAGTGAGAAAATTAAAAAAAAAGAGAGACAGTTCAGCTCTTTCGTTTGTGTTAGCTGTTTCTCGATAAAGAAAGAGCACCAGGTTTCGTAGCCAGCAAGGTTGGCTCGCGCAACCCCTAGCACCATAAGCGTTGAGAGAAATGTATGCGTGCGCGCGCATATGAACGCACGCACACACGCATGTGTGTCCGTTTCTATTTTAATTATCTCATCCATGCGTCGTACGTAGGACGTCTCTTAAAAGATATAGGCCACGGCGGTCGTGATCGTTTTCGCATACAACACACCCCTATTTTTTTTTCTCACCACAGGGGTTCACGTGTCTTTTCTTCTACTTCTTCTACTACTTTTTCTTCTTTTTCTTCTTCTTCWTTATCTTCTACTTTTTCTTCTTCGTGCGACTTACGATTAATCGACGGAGAGTTCTCAACGCCGGCCGGCTAGGCGAGCGATACCACGTCTATCGATTCTTCTGGGACTTTCGAGTAGTAGGGAAGAAGAGAAGGAGGGGGTTAAGGAGTGGGAGGAGGAACAGGAGTCTAGTAGAAGGTTCTGGATTTTTGTCAATTCCCGTAGCAATCGACTGGGAAAATAAAAAAAAATGCAAGCTGTTCAAAAATCTTTTTCCCTCTTTCTTTCTCTTCCTCTCTTTCTCATTCTTTCCTTTGGTACTCTCTTCGTCTACCGCATCGCCGGCCCGGGGGCGTGGACGTTGAGAGCTCTGATCCACTTCTTCCTCCTTTTATTCTTCTTCTTCTTCTTCCGTTTATCACTTTTTATATCATTTCTATATTCCATACTTTCACTCGTTCTAGTTCGGTCCCGTGTATAACGTCCTCGGTAAGTGTTTTTTCTAACGCCATTCGACGGATGCTCTTAAATTCGAAGCTCGTTATTGATGTGAGCAACCGAAGAAACGTTCTCGAAGATGATGACGTTTGCAGATGGAGGCACAAGTTTTGTGAGGACGGGATCGAACGGTCCGAATTAAGAGGCCCAAATGCCTCTTCTTCCTTCCTTCTTTCATTTTTTGTTTCTCTATATGTGTTTGTGTGGAGGGGACCCATGACAATCGCTCTTTATTTGCCTTGCGGTGTCAGGGGATAGAAATCGATGAGATGACTCAACGATGTTAATATTGGGGGCTATGATCCTACGCACATAAGCGATTCGTGCGTACTACTGCTGCTCGCGTTATTTACACCTGAACCACCCACGTTTGTGCTACCACAGCTCGATGAGGTTAAATGTTGCAGTTGCTGTTGTTGTTGCTGTTGCTGGTGCTGTTGGTGTTGATGATGGTGGTGGTGGTGATTATGATGATGCTGTTGTTGCTGCTGCTGCTGTTGTTGTTGTTGTTGTTGGTGTTGTTGTTGCTGCTGCTGTTGCTGCTGTTCCTGTATCGTCGTACTCCTAAGAATATCGTCCGCCGATAGAGGAGTTAATTTCCATCCAGGCATAAAGTCGAGTTCCAAGTCTGGTCCGATGTCAACGTCGAGAAGCTCGTTATTGTTGAGTGGATCAAGAGGTGACTGACTGGAAAGCGATAGCACACTACCCCAATTGATCGATCTACTATCGTCACTATCGCCGATACCCGAGTCCGCATCCGTCTCCCCGGAAGAAGTTGGTGGCATCGGGAATGGGGTTAACCTGCCCTGTTCGGGTGGTTGAAGCTGCGCAATAGGCGCGGGTATTATCGGCTCCATGGGGGGTGGACTCCTGTCCCTCTCCATCTCGCGCTCCAAATACCTCAGGGTATTGCAAATGAGGACCGACCGATGTAAACTGGGATCGGGGAACTGACGGTACTTGGCCAATTTACACATAGAGATGTTGAGGACGGTCATTCGTCTCTGCCGATAGCAGGCTCTACCTCGTCGACACCAACTCGACCTGGAGCCTTCGCAGCACCTTTCGTTCGCGCGGTAACTTGAACCCAACTCTAGGTAGCTCTTCCCGTTCTCTTCGCGTCTTATCGTTGGCGGTTCGTAATGATGGGAAGTTCCCCATTGAGGTTGAGGCCTCGACAATTGGTTGTAACCGTTGTTACCAATCGGACTACTGGAGGCACCGCGTTGATGGTAGTAATGTTGCGCGTGATGGTGCAGCTGCGTCACCGTAGAGGCATTTGCTGCCGACGGGGATGTTGACGATTGCTGTTGTTGCTGTTGCTGTTGTTGTTGCTGCTGCTGTTGCTGCTGTTGTTGAGACGTCGAGTGTTGTTGCTGCTGTTGTTGCTGCGACGTCGAATGTTGTTGTTGTTGCTGCTGCTGTTGCTGTTGTTGATTACTCCCCGATGTCGGTTGACAGGGATTAGCTTGCAAGCAGGGCGATGATACTTCCATATCATAATAAGATGCTTGTGTCTGACTGAGTGGCGGTGTATAGCTATCTTCCATAGCCCACCAACTACCCTCAACGCGACCTAACTTTGATGGGCTTTCGCCCATGTCCATATCGAACTCCATGCAGCCCACACCTCCCTCCAGTTTACGTTTTCCTGCCGTGGCCTGCAGACCCATCATTGCACAACTCTGAAAAATAACATATTTACATTAGAACTAACGACAATACGTTTAAATACAAAAAATAAGAAGAATTATTTGGCACATACAAAAACAATGTTCTAGCGAAAGGAAAAGGATAGATATGAATGAAGGACTATCGTCAAATCTTTGACTATCTTTGCCTTCCATATTAATGCTGTTACTTCGAAGTAAAAGTGAAAGTATACGTTCGTGCAAGAAAGCACGCGCGATTACTAGACTGTAGAGTCGTTGTTAACTTGTTCGAAAGCTTCAATGTATAGGAAAAAATTTGTTTAAAAGAAAAAAGAAGAAAAAAGAAAAAAAAAGAAATCATTTGTTCGTTACAATTTTAAAATAATTTTCTAAGTTACTAGAGAGCGTTAGTAGACAAAACATGATAGCATGACCGTGAAGACCTTGCCGATTCTAGATACTCTTTTCGAGTCAAGAAAGCGAGCGAGAACGAAACACGAAATGACTCAGAGGGTCGGCTTGCTGACAGAACATTGCTCAATGACGTCAGACGTTTTCCCCTACCTAACACGCGCTCTCTGGAAGAAGTCATCGTCGGAATGGATGATCGAGTCGGACTTTGAAGGGAAACACAGAGCGAGTAAGATAGAAGATAGATAGAATGAACAGGAGGGAAGGACAGAGGGACCGTTGTTACTCGGGAGAACTCGTAGAACTCTGATCGAGCAAGCAATGCGGGTATCCCCCGCTCCACACTGCTTATCCCTCTCCTTTCCCCACCTCACATCCAATAGTTATGACAAACGCACTTCTATTCATCTCTCATCTTTCTCTTTCTTTCTTTTTTTCTTTTTTCTATCACGATACACAACACGATACGAATTTCGCGGGGATACGAGTGAGCTTGGTGTCTCGTAACAGGTGTCGAATAGCATTGACCCTTGCTTACACGACATTTCTTTCTTTCTTACTTTCTTTCTTTCTTTCTTTCAAGTTGTTAGCCAGTTAAAGCTGATCAAGAACGAATATTATACCCCAGAGGGTTGATGATTGATCATACTAGACGTTGAAAGAAATCTAAGTCGATAAATAATAATATTAGTGATAAATAAATATTATTTTTTAAGTATCGATAAATAAAAAGAGAAAAAAAAGAACGAGATAGAGAAACGTTAAGTTGATAACCACTGACGTGACAAAAGGTTTAGTCGAAATAACGCTAGATGTCGCCAACGGTGCATTCCTCGCCCCGTCTCATCCACGTGGTATGCATATGACGTTTCATTTGATGTGACAAAAAAACACGCGTATTCTCGCTGTTTCACAGATACAACGGGGAATAACTAAATGACTCTTTTTCGCTTGGATCTTTCTTAACAATGTTAGCAAGAAAGATCATGGTAACCAAATAATACACGTTTAAAATCCTTACGACGATATACTCTTCTTTCATTGTATTTTATTATTGTGAAATAGAAATTTGAAAAAAAAAAAAGAATTTGACTAACATAAGCCTCGATTCGTTGAATTCTTCGGTAATGAAAAAAAGAAAAAGATTTTTTTGTCGATAAAAAGGAAACTCTCTTTATCACGTACCTTTCTTTCTTTCATTCTTCTCGAGAATATTGTTTAAAAATATCAAATATTTTATTCAGCATGAATAGGAGAGTAGAAAGCTTCGATGTTGAAAGAGTAAGAAAACAAATAGTAGTAATAAGAGAACGTAAGAACAAGATAAGAATCCTTAAAAGAGTTTAGATAAAGGATCTTAGGGTGTCTGATCGTCATTTCATTCTGTGTCTCAGTTGAAAGAGTTAAATGGTAGGTATAATAGTAGGTCCGTAGTGTTTCTCCTTAAAGCCGATAATCGTAAAACGTGGTCTCGGGCACTTGTTGAATCGAGCGCGGTAAACCATAGGGTGGCCACACCACCACCACCATCACCACCACCAACCGGGAGGTACCTTCCGTCGTAACGGATTAGTCGTGTGCCGCAGAGAAACGCACGCTTATTTAACTCGCCATAAATCAAACTCAAGAAAAGAGGAACCACCAAGAAAGAAGACGTATATATACGAAGAATACATTCTCTTATTTTCTTTTCTTCTTCTTCTTCTTCTTCTTCTTCTTCTCATGTTATCCTTTTAATCCTTCTGCTTGTTATTCTCAGTTCGTATTTGTGTTAGTATTTGCTTTAACAGTTTTAATTTCAGTTCGTTTATCGACACGTTTTCTTCTTTCAAATCTTTCCACTTTGTTAGAGTATATTTTTTTTTCTCTTGTTTTTCTTTATGTTTCAACAAGTAGTGGTTGGTTGTTATCTGGTCGTGAAGTTTCGAACGACGACACGTTTCGTGCAAATATATCCGTCGAAAAGCAGCACATATCAGAGACCAAAAGAGATGACAAATAAGTGGAGAAGGTTTGCGGTGGATCCAGCTATGTGTGACGATGAGGTAATCTTTGCCGCACGAGTCGAAGTTATCTAGCCGGTTCGTACGAGCGAACATACGAACGAACGAACAAACGAACGAAGGAAAGAACGAACGAATAAATGTTAGCATTAATATTTTGTTTAGTAAATGTTTAAAAAAAACGAGCCATCTTTTCTAATCAAACACTGATCAAGGACGAAATCTTTTGATTTGAATTTTTTAACGTGTCGATTGTTAACGCAAATTTTACATGTTTTATTATAGAGGGTCAAATAAAATTCACATGTTTCCCCTTCTCTTATTGGAAGAACAGAACGACGATCACTCAGGTGATCGACGTGGCAGTATTTAAAAAAAAGATAAAAGTTTTAAACAAAGATTGTAACAATAAGAGAAATGAAAGTCTATTCGTTAAAAGCTATATATGAAAGTATGTATAGATTGATTCGATGATTTCCTCGAATGGAATAAAAAGCTAAAAGACTCAAGAAGCCGAACGAACGATCGACTCGAGTAAAGTAGAAAGAACGCAGAAAGAGAAGGAGAGAAGTGAAGAAGACTCGAGTTGGATCCGGCTATGCGCGATGATGAGGTAATGCTTGCTACAAGAGTCGAAGTCTATCTAACCAGGTCCGTACTCGATTAACTTAAAAAGTCGTATAATATTACACACGACTTTATAATAATATTTTAATCTCACAAACAGCTCAATTATCTTTCCTTTTTTTTTACTATACATATATTTTTATCTTCAATTTAAATACAATAACAACAACAACAACAACAACAACAACAACAACAACAACAACAATAATAGTAATATTTATAATAATATTTATAATAATAAAAAAGAATAAAAGTATTTTTAAAATAATAAAATCGTTAAATTGTTATTAAAAATTAATTAAATTTTTGTCAAATAAAATAGTATTACATATTTTGACTTATTATTAAAATTTGTTGGGGGCAATTGTTATTGTATTTTTTAGATAAAATGTGATTGAAAGTTTGTGTAATTTTAAATAATGATAATGTTAGCTACAGAGAGCTGTAGGTTGGTAGCTCGAGGAGTATAGAAGCTTCGACGACGACGATGATCGTCGTCGTGACGGCATGACGTCAACCGGCCGTGTTATTTTCGAAAGGGGACTCGACGATAGCGACCTGCAACGGCGAGATCGCCAAGCTTGAAAAACAGTCGACTTTGCGGCGACTAACGTAGATACGACGAACAAAACAGCGTCAGCAACAAGCATCTAGACATTTTTTTTTAAATAAATCAACGATATTTTTCCTTAATATCAAATAAAAATCTTTTTGAAGAAGAAACAGAACAATTTTTTTTATCCAATTACTTACAATGATATGCTAATTATATTATCGATAATATTACTTCATTTACCAATGTGTTTTCGTAAAGGTTTATTAATGGCGTCTGTGCTAATGAGCACTTTTAAAAATTCTTTTATAAATTTTAGGAATCAATTCATTGCATACAGAAATGTTAGAAAATAATAATAAAAATAATAGAATATATTTTGGTTGTTACAATAAAATGCAATTTATTTTAAGGAACTTTAAGAAATGATCAATGAAAGGAAAACTTGTCGCTAGTAGTATATATGATACGTAACACGATCTCCATTTTTAAATGTCTCTTCGATTTGAAATGAAGTTTACAAAATTTATTTCTTATTTTAAATTATAAAAAAGAAAAGAAAAATTATTATATACAGAAATTTAATGCATAGATATTTATATATAAATTGAAGAATACGAAGTATAAACAATCAAGAAGAATAATAACGAAAGACCGACAGTTAATGCGAAATATATCCGATAAAACAAAATATATCTACGAATGTCATCTTTAGCTGCTTGATTTTTAGATAAAGTATTTCTTTATCGAATGAAAAAATTGATTGGAGAGAAATGCGTCGTTGAAAATAAAGAGTTAACGATTTTCGAAACCAGGATGTATCTAATTGAAAGTATAAAATAAAGTTAGGTATTTTTTTTTGACAGAGTCATCGCGATCCTGTATGACGAACGTAAGAACGACGTCGAGCGGTGTAAAGTCCGCGGTAGATTAGCGACGTGCTATCTAACAACGAACGTCGGATAAGATTGTCAGGGCATTCGTTTGTAAGTATGAACTAGCTTCAAGGACTTGCAACGACACGCGCGGTCGAGCGCGAGCACACACATATACAAATATGTACATACATACATACTTATATATATGTATATACACATACTCTCTCTTTCTTTCTCTCTTTCAATATTTTTCTCTCTCAATGTTTTTCTCATTCTCTCCAATTATGTTTTTCACGATGAAGTATGATGCGATGCCTTTCTCCAAATCTTATTTTAATCTAGTTTATTAATCTCAAGTTTTCCTTATATTCTTCTATAATTTATTAAACCCCCGCACTATTAAACTCCAAAAAAAAGAAGAAAAAAAGATAAGAAATATTTAATATTATTAGTGTTGTAATTATGGTTCCATTTTGTTTGTTTTTTTTTTGAATTATTATAAATAACAATAATAAGCAAGTTATTTATTAGATATAGTTAAAATATATTATTAATATTAAT